GCAAACAATCACAATGTGTTTCACACCGTCTACTATATTAGCTGCTAACAATATTTGGTCGCTCCCTGAGGGCCAATGATGGTGGCTTGGGAAAATGTCTGTGGTCACTTAGCAACACAGACAGTCCTCGTGCTTGGCCTGGTGGTGTCTGTGTCGTGTCTGGGTTAGGAGGTCTATATTTAAGACTGACCATGCCTGTGGAACATGAAGCAGAGAATGACTGTGCACAGATTATATGATTTAGTGAACCTGGAACTAATCAGCATTCACATTGGATGCAGGTTGATGCCACCGTTTCCACTGACACAAGATGGCTTGAGAAGATGCGGTGATGGAGGACAAACTGCTTTGTGTGTGTGTGCGTGTGTGTGTGTGTGTGGGAGTGGTTGTGTTATGGATATGGATTGAGGTCAGGGATGGAGGCAGTGTTAGTTGGAGCAGAGAAATGAAATGAGCTTTGACTTTGGCGTGTTGTCTCGTCAGCTGAGACCCCTGAGCAGCCAGACGGTGGGCTCCTGGGCTGCTCTACCTGCCGCCCCGATCCATTTCACATGGCTGCATCATTAGCACGCCACACATGTCTCTCTGTGGGGTCTGGGGAGGCTATATATCACAGAGCATCTTGACATGCAATCGATGACCTACTATAGTCATACCTCCCCCTTTTTTCCCTCCCAGGAAAGCGTCACATTATTCACAGTTTCACATCTCTGTGCCACAGATGCTTCCTCCCATAACGCTCCTCCTATCCAGGCAAGATTATTGGAAGAATCTGTGCTGAAAGTGAATTATGGTACCCGCTTGTGCTCTGTATAATTGCATGTAGAGGGTGGGGAATGCTGCTGTCATAGAGAAGACATTATATAGACGCCTATGGAGTTCCAAGGGGAGGAATCACGTGCGCTCTGGACTCTCAGACATGATTTATCAAAGCTGTCAGTGGCCTCATTTCATGTGAGCAGCTGAGCTGAATGGGAGTGTTTGTCCTGCATGTAGCCAGATGTATTGATCCTTCAATCGGTTATCATGTAACACTTCCTGTTTTACTATTGCCTGCCCTCATGAGAATTAATTGTAATGGTGCTATTAAAATGTCTTTATACTGTTTAGACTAAGTTCTGGACTTGTGGTCATCACAATCTTCATATGGACAAGTATCGCAACAGTTCTTATAAACTGTACATACATCAGGGGAAATTATTTCGATTTGCAAATGAAGCACATTGTGCAAACACACACACTGCCATCTAGGTAATTAGGCAAAGAAGGCATCACAATGTCAAAGGGTTTGGAAAGGATTAGAAAATGACAAAGGCAAATAAGGGCAAATGTTTTATCCTTCAGTATAAATCTTACAGCTTATCATACATAGAACATTACAACAACATTAATGTAACGCTAAGTTAGAAAGAAAAGAAATTGCTACATTTGGACCCCCTAAAATAGTTTAAACAAAAAATTTCAGGGTGAAATAGAATTAACTAAATTAACTAAAAGTGTATACGATCTCTAAATGAATGCATTTAAGGGTTAATCTGCTCTAGTGCACAGGATCAGTTTTTGAGCTTGTAATTTGATGTGTGGTTACGAAGGAATTTCACTCTCTAAGTAAAACTTTCCATCGTGTAGTTTAAAGAGGGTGTTGTCTGACTCAGGTTTTTTATTTGCAATGAGCAACAGAGGATTCGTGGAATGATCCGCAAACCACACCTCAAAGTTTTCCCTGTGCTCCTTTTGGTATTTACAGCCTGTTTGTAACAGTACAATACAGTGGTCACTCTGTAAGACCTTTACAATTTGAACATCATTTAGGTAATAAGTAATAATTTGGGAGTCACTTTCCTCACTTTGATTCTGGCAGAGATGAATCACCCTTCAAGATTTAGTCATAATTAGAGCCATTAAACTCTCACAATGACCACTCATTGAAAAGAATCAAGCACGAGAACATGCGTGTGTCAGATTTGGATGTGTGCATGCTGCTGTGTGCTCAGGCGCAGTGATGGGAAAACATTGAGGCAGCTCGCATGCAAGCGTAACTCCCAGACATACCACACAAGGCAGGGAGTGTTAGTTGGCAAGCGCTGCTGGAATGCTATTGTTCAACGGACAAAAAATGTATGAGAAAATGTCTGTTTGATGTGAGACACTTGCACTTTTAGTTTCCTCTTAAATCACCGTTTTTTCATGTGTCACAAAACACGTAGTTGAGATCTCTTTGCATGCACTGAAATGTGAATGTTTCTTTCTTTTTTCATTCATTTCATTCTACTTAAGTGCTACTGCAGTTAGTGATGCGACACTGATTTAAGAAAACAATTATCTGTTTATTATCAGATTAGATTGGATGTAATGTTACTAAAAAAAACAGATGATTCATTCTTCAAAAGGCTTCTAATTTTCTCAATGAATAGAAGTAAAAGTATCTTAATGTGGCTCTTAAAAAACTTCATTAAATTTTGGTTTTGCCTCCCGAAAATTAAAGAGAAACCACTTTATTTATAGCTGCAATTTCACTTGGCTTTGTAGGCCGAGTTAACACATGTGTGAGACCACAGTTTTGGATTTATTAGAGCGAGATTTCAGAGGATGTGTCTGTGAGTAAACAGATGTCTATGAGTGGACACAGGCTCCAGCTCTCCTGCTGTCTTTGTCCTTGTAAGGAGACTCCGGGTGTGTTCATTTGACTGAGTCACGCCAAAGGTACAGGAAAACCAAAGCCATAGCTATGACTGAGAGGCCAGACAGAATATCTTTGCAGTGCTGTAGTGTCATCTTTGTTTGGATTAGCTTTTTATATCTGGATGCTTGAAAACAGTCTGCGATTTTCCATTTGACTATTATGGACTGCTGAATTGTAACCGCTCCAGATAATGTGGAAGCAGTTGCTGCCCCATTGACTCCATCACCTTTGGTAGGTGACATAAATAGCCTTGAAATGTTGTTGACAGAGATAGTCCCCCCCCCCCATCAGTACGTCAACTTAATCACGATGTCCAGTTATCACTCGTTAAAGGAAAAGTTATTTCGGCTGTTCAGGAAGTGACAACACAAGTGATGCAGATGCTGTGACAAACGGATTCGTTTCTGCAGAGGATGTGATGCAGTTGTGAACTCCAATGACCTTAGTCGGAGTCCTGCGGCAGACAGGCGGAGTGTTGTGGTCACAGTAAAGCAGCGCTGCCAGCATTTTCAGAACCAGGCTTCAATCACAGTGTGAGCTGGCACACCCTGCCAAGGGATACTTCTCTCTAATTAGACAGTGTACATTCAGGGGGTCCTGAATGGAAACAAGAGTTTTGTTGAGAAAGTGAATTCTCTAGTGACGCATGTTGTGGTGCCGAAGTGACTTCTGGCTGTGTTTGTGCTTCTCCATGGTAAAGGCTCAGGGTAAGCTAATGTCCCAGAAGTCAATAGGGGTCTTCGGATATCAGCTTTCTCCCTTCCAGTAAACATATATACTCAGACATGCGCTGCTGTACACCAGGACACACACATTTTCCCACTGGCTTGACAGAGATAGTCTTCTCTCTCTCTCTCTCTCTCACACACATACACACACACACACACACCCACACACACACACACACACACACACACAGAAAACCCCCTCTGTTTTTTATCATCCACTGTCACCATGCATGTGGACCCGCAGTGGCTCATCATCACATGGATGTCTGATACTGTGCGGCTACTTCATTTTCCTCAATGAGCTCCTTGTCCATTCTGAATCTCGTACAGCCTTTTGGGAAGTATCCGTGACTCAGCATGCCTGCTATCTCATCTCCCAGTGAACCAGATGAGTGTGTATTAGGAGCATGCGAAACAGACGGATGCGGTACAGGCTGAGTCTTCTGTGCCTCGTGTGCGATGCATACTGCAATGCAATTAAAGAGACTCCTAATTTTGTTTATACATGGCTGCCATGGTGCAGAGAAGTGATATGACCCATCACCAGAGGAAAATAGAACTGTGCTGCTAATCATAGCTTGCAACCAATGGGTGGGGTGGGGGGTGGGGTGGGGTCTGGCACTTTATTTTTAGCCACGGTAGTGGCATGACTTTAAGAATGGTAATGTTGGTTGGTTTTTTGAGCCACTTTTTTCCAGACTGAAAAATTTCATCACTTTCATGTCTCGCCCCCCAGGATGAACTTTTGTCATCCCTTTATTTTTCATCTACTGCAATTATCAACAGACTTATAAGACTAGTGCCATTCCCGACGGCCTCAGCTGATTACCTAGAATTAGCATGCTAACACACTAAACTAAGATGTTGAACATGGTAAGCACTATACCTGCTTAACGAGCTTAAAGCACAGAGCCGCTAGACTCTTTATTGTCATCTTCTGTTGCTTGCAAATGTACTAAACCAATAACGTGAGCTGCTTGTTTGTGTGTGTGTTTCTGCCCAACTGGCGACTATGATGTGATGAATAATTCACCTCTTCAGTAAATACTGGGATTGCTATGAATGGCTTTGCACTCGGGTTGGTAGCTTTAGTGAATGTTAACTCTATATCTCTAGCTTGTACCTCTGTCAAAAGCATGAATAGAGATCTTATGTGCTTTGAACTGGTGCCAGTGAGATCTTGTAAACAGATTTCCTACACCTGTGACTGCATGAGGGACGAGGCAGTGAGCATGAAGGAATTCAGGCTGCAGCAGAGATACTCCGCCCTTCTGGGTGTGTGTCGAAGCTCAAATGTCCCTCTGCAGTCACTCAAAGGTTGAGACGCTATTCATGGGCAGAGTTTGTTGTATTTGGAGAAGGATGGAACTTTTATTGAGGCAGTGGGGATGTAAAGATGACTACAAAGGAGGGAAGAGACAAAAGACTGAAAACAGGAGGGGGAACTGGGTGTGAACCCACACTGTCAAGGGCATTTTGTAATCAGAGATGGGAGTATTATCCCCACAAAAGTACCATTACCCTGTCTAGTGGCCCCCAGGGGACCAGGGCCAGCAGTAACTGACCCACCTCTGTGCTCTGTCTTGCAGATGGGAAGAGGAAGTGTCCAAACGGGAGCAGATGGAGTCCACGGTGGAATCCCTGCAGCAGGTTGGGAAACATAAACAATGGAATATATTTCATTAACATACTCAGGTCATTACAAAGGTCATTTACCACATGCAGACAAGGAGTGCAAATAAGATCTGAGGGGTAGAGTCTGTACACATACAGTTTCAAAATAGCTCCTACAGCACATGTATGAGCATTTAAATATAGCTCTGTTCTTCATGGTGTTTTATGCAGTGCGAACTCAGCAGAGCTGGACTAGAAGCAGCTACTGTACAGCCAGGAGGATGTGTGTCGGATTAGAAAAACCATATTACAAACCCGTCAAGAGGAGTCAGCTGGCCGGGATGTAGATATAAACATCAAATATCACCAGCAGTCTGCCATTATGTTCATGTTCAGAGCAGGCAAACAGAAAATAGATGTAGTGGCAAAAATCAATTTAAAGTGTCACACCTTGAGGCTGTATCACAACATGTACACTATCCCGGCTGGTGTGAGTACCTCATCTAGTCGTCATCCTTCCCTCTCAGTGCTGTTTCGCAAATCGATCTGTGACAGCATGCGTGTTTGTCTTGGATTCTGGGTCAGCAAAAACCTGGATGGAGAGGTGGAGTGCCACCCTCCCAGGGGGCTTTAACCTTTTAGAGCACACGGGCAGATGTCGCTGTGAATGGGAGAGCCGGAAATCTGCTCACACTGTAAATTCAATGAAAACAGCCAGTTATTGTTATGGGCCCAGAGCCAGAGGGCAGGTGCCATGTGTTGACTTAATACAGAACCAAAAACTTATTGAAGTCAACAGGGTTAATCTTCTTTTTGGTCGTCTTTGTTGGTCAAATTGAGTCTTTCAATTGCTGAGACCATGTTTACTAGCTAAATACATTAGCCATCCATTGAGGCCATAGCCATCTTATTGGAATAGTTCATTCTGAAAAGCACCAACGAAAAGTTAGTTGTCTTAAAAGTTTATAACTTGATATTTTTACACTTGTACGGATTAAACAGATGAGATAATAGCCATAATTAGTGAACCTTAGATGTGAAATGGATTTTGTACTTTCAGATAGAGCGAGGCTAGCTATTTCCTCTTGTTTCTTGTCTTTATGCTAAGCTAAGTTGACCAACCGCTGGCACTAGCGTCACACACAGACACGAGAGTTGTATCAATCTTCTAATCTAACTAAAGAAAAAGAATAAGCTTTTTCCAATATGCAAAACTATTCCTTAAAATTTTAGCCTACCGGAATTGAATCACCAAATCGGCTATGATCTACTCCGTTGTATGTTAACATACAGTACATGGTTGCCTTCCCTTTCCTTATGTAGCCTCAGTTATGAAACATCTTTTGTATTACTTAATGCTTTCAGCAAAGGCCCACATTTGCATCAGGTAAATATGTAGAGGCAACTAAACAATGACCTCTGGGTAACGAGCCAAACAGTAACCACATAAAACAGTATAACATGATCATATAAAACAGTAAAACAGTAAAAAAGCTTTATTTGCTCAGGTGGGCCTTATCAGAATGTAACCAGGGTCAGTCTTATCACTACTGGGTAGGTACATTTACAACCAATGTCTTTGAAGTTGTTGACTCCTTTTACTTTGTCTTTGACACTTTTACTTTGCGTGTTTGTATTGTTGTATCACTGGCAAAGTCTGTTATGTTGTACTGTTTTTGCAGATGTGTTGGAGTGTTGTCAATGAACCTAAAACCTACCAGAATGTGTATTATAAATGTTTGATATAAAGATTGACACCAGTTTAGAAATGGTTATTGAACAAATTTACTTCACAAGCTTTGGTAAGCAGAGTTTATGTGGTTCCACTAACCTTATTAGGACCTTTATTTACCTGTATGTGCATTTTACCCAGAGTGCCCGGGAGTCATCGGAGATCCAGGGTGAGCTGAGCGAGAAGGTGGACAGACTGAAGGCTGAACTCGTGGTCTTCAAGAGCCTGATGAGTGATGTAAGTATTTGTTCAGCGCTGGGGTGATGTCATCATCACTTCCTTAAGTCTGACACACGCTTTCACGTTGTACAAAAACTGCTGGGTTGACTCCCTTGCTTAAAGCAATTGTGTTAAGCGTTCCAGCAGCAATGTTTCAGCATGTACAGCTGTTGTCCCGCACATTCCGAACCATCATTTTGATGAAGCTTGCCACTCACACAGGTCTTAATAATAATACTTAACACACACACACACACACACACACCCTTCCTTCCTTCCTTATTTGGATTCAGGAAATATATGTAATGCCAGAAAGCCTCTAAAACAAGCATTCATTGAAAACAGCTCAAATAGCAGCTGTAGATCAAGAGCATTTCCTGTTCTGTACAGCCCTGTATTGTTCCCTGGCAGGTCTGCTCTAGTGTGATATACAGCTGTAATATACTGCAGTGTGCCCAGTCACAGCTTGTGCTTGCTCAGGGATAAATATAGCCAGATGATGTTTTTGTTTTTGGAAAGCTTTGTTGTTTATCCTGCTTATCTTCACTTTGGCATCTGTACATTGTAGATTTTTCATGTTATTTTCTGTGCTTTACTTCATCCCCAATGTGTGAGTCCAGAGACAGGTGAGTGAGATAGCAGCATTGGATCTCATAGAATGTGTAGATTAGAAGTAGTAAGACATCCCGTGCTTTGTTGTTATGGTTGTGTCTTTGAATGTAGTGACCCTCTTGTCATTATTCAGAGAAATGAGTGGTCTTATAGTCAAAGCTTGGGATGAAATACAGTATGTGCGATGTTTGCACAGTCCATATCTGCCCCGTCAAATCTTATCCAAACAGAATGTATATGAATGTTTGTTATGTTGACAAATTCAGGATGCAAAAGTATAGTTCTACTGTAAATAGATGGAAGTTTTAATATTTTTAAGATAATCTTTATTTAACCAGCTAAGCTACATTGAGATAAATACTGTACCCTAGCCAAACAGTCAATTACATATTTACAATATAAAACAGGAAACACAAAATTTGTTAAAAGATCAGAATCAAGCAAAAATTCTGATCACTATATCATGAATGAAACTGTCAAAATGGATCAAAATCGGATCTTCGAAGCAAGTGAAATAGCACCTTAAATTTTATCGTTAAGCTTCTATAAAGTCGAAGGAATGGCCGTTTAGTTTAGGTAAACACCTACTGGTTGGAGCCTTAGCTTTCTGTTATAAATTTGGAGTCTCAAACCAAATCTGAGGGAAAAATTACCCCAATGACATCACCGGGGTTATGTTCTCCCACCAAAGCCACAGAGGACATTGTACATTTCATAGTACACCTTGTGCAAGTAAACTGACCGTGGTGTATAAAAAGGATGGAATACCCTTTAAGATAAAAAGCTCTCTAAAACAGTACGTAAATGTGATATGAAACTTAAACATTTAAGTACATACCTCATCACTAAGTGGATCAAATGTTCAGTGGACAAGCAATGATATGGAGATGAGTTAACCGACACCAACTAACTGAAAGATGTAATATAACCATAAAACAATCAGCTGATGTCAGTCAACTTAAACATTTTGCCTGCAACAATGAATCAAGTTCACACACTGTTTGTATATGTCTCTCTAAAATCTCCATCCATCTCCATGCAGCAAATGACTGACTTGGACTCCAAGATTCAAGAGAAAGCCCGGCACGTGGACATGGACATCTGCAGGCGCATCGACATCACGGCCAAACTGTGCGACGTGGCTCAGCAACGCAACTCGGAGGACATGTCAAAGATGTTCAACGTCAGTCCAGTCAGGTCGCTCCCAGAGAAGGTGGGCATCCATCTAACTGCTGCCCCACTGTATGTCAGAGGAGCTGACAGTAATGGCAGAAAAACATATGAATTCTTTTGTGAGGGAAACAGTCAGCACTCTGTAAATGAAATCAGAGCCGCCAGTGGCTGACGGTGTTGCTTTTTCACCAGCTGATCATCATGTACTGAGTGACCCCCTCTCTGAAGGCGCTGGAATACATTTTATATACAATACACTCTCAAACATACAACAATACACATTCAGAACAATTACAGTACTGACTCTTACATAAGCACACACACACATAGAGAGAGAGAGAGATAGAGAAAAGTGAAATGCTGATGTTGTAACTTTGCTGCACACAAGGTTATCACATTGCGCCGACATTGCTGGCTAGAGCCCAAGTATCAATCCACTGTCAATCAAGTTGGAGGCTTCTTTTATGTCACATGTTGTTATATGTCTCTGCCTAATATAAAATTTCTTATATTTACACTATTTATAAGAAAAAAACTCTGCACAAAAAGTGTTTCATCTGCAGATCAGTGTAGATAAAAAAACTGAACCAGAGATGAGGACTACAAATTAGCATTAGCTAGACATCCTATATATACACATTACATTTCTTCCATTTCTTCTTTCTGTCATTTAACCAGTTTTAATAAACAAATAAAAGAAAATGCTGCAGGTTCAGCATTCACAAGTATACGTTGAAAAATAAATCATCACATTAAACACCGGTTGTCTTCTTCGCATTTTGCCTCAGGGTTGGATGTGTGTTTATGTTTGTGTGTGTGCATTGCAGGGGGCTGTGGCCTGCTGCAGGAAGAAAGAGCGTAAAGTGGTGTCAGATGAGGAGAATTCAGAGATGGATGCCGAGCCCAGCCTTTCAGAGGAGGAGGTCCCCGGGTCGCTCAACATCACGGATGAAATGAAACGCATGCTCAACCAGCTGTAAGCAACACCTCACATGCACGCGCACACACACACACACACACACACACACACACACACACACACACACACGTCAGCAATGTCCACACAAATCTGAACCGAGTTCTCTCGGCTTTGAATGAAACTGAATGTGCTTTGCAGCTGCGCCATACCAGCACAGTATTTCCCTGCAAAGTTGTTGTGATGGAATTGTTCTGCATATTCCTTCATCTCCCTCTAGCGTTTATATGGAGTGTTGCATCTAACACACTATATGCTCATTTAGCAAAACTCAGCAGATATATATACCGTGGGCATTCAGTTGTTCTGTTAAGGCCACAGTGCTTATTATTTGAATTCTCTCTAACATTTCTCACCCTCACAAACCTTGGCTGTTTTGGATTAACCTATTTACTAATCACTAACTTTCAGTTGCTGGCTATACATTATGCTTGACTGCTTGTGGTTTCTCTAAAACCTTTCCTTTCCCTTCTTTTCATCGTCTTTATAAGCGCATGACCTTTGCTGCGTCTGGTGGCTGTTATACTTCTCCTTCCTCTCCTCTCTCTCTCTTCTTCTTTCCATTCTCTGCCCTTGTCCTACACAGACATTGTTCAGATAACTCCTTTGTTACCAGGCGCGAGACATTCGAAATCGACGACGACTGTGACAGTCTGACATGGGAGGAAAACGAGGAGACTCTGCTGCTGTGGGAGGACTTCACTAACTACAACGTGCCGTGTGCCATTGCTGCAACAACCTGCACAGCCATGGCCCCCAGCGATGGCAACGGTGAAACCACTGATCCAGTGAGCCCTCTCTGCATTTACGGTCCCGTGCACACTATATGGTTTTCAGGCTCATGCAAGTCAGAGTGTAGATCATTGCTATGGATGCTGTGTAAGACATCTCCTCATGCATGATGAATGAGGCCTGTCTGTGCTCTCTAAGGACTCCCAGGATGGAAGTCTTGGCAGCCTCATTGATGAAACGGAGTCACTATTTAAGACCAGAGAGCAAGAGTACCAGGAGACCATTGGCCAGATCGAGGTAGACAATCTATATGTGTCTTTGTGTGTGAAATTAGATATAAAACAAGACCTTACATAATTCATTTTGTACTTTAGGTTTTTTTTTAATTATAAATTGCTTTGAAACTTTACAATTATAACATAATATGATCATATAATTACTTCCACTCACAGTCGATACTAAATTATCACCCAGTCCTATTGTGTATATAGTAAATGTACTTGGGAATTATTGTGGTTAAATTATTATGCATATTTTTCATGTATACACAGAAATCACGTTGCTTGGTCATGAAAATAGGATTTAAGTAATGGAAAAGCATATATTTATTTACTTCCAGTCACACAGCAAGATTAAAGCAAATAAACAAACTGTGTGAAACACTGAGTCTGGGTAATATTTCCTCTTTCCGTTCATTTCCCTTAGGGGATGTATAAAAGTTATTAGGGTGGGAAATTGCATTAAAAAAGAGGGAGGGTTCTCTATTTTTTCTTTTTGCCGAAGGAGGGTCTTTTTAATCTTTAATGTAGAGACTGACAGAGAGTTGTAAGTTGCTGGAATGTTTTGTAAATGTTCTGGTCTATGTTTGCTATAATTTCTATGTGGGTACCATGAAATGTTTTGTTCCATTAACATTAAGTTTAAAATGGTGGGCTAAGTACTATCCAATTAAAGTGCAAGATTTAATGATTAAATGAAAGTGTTAGCGAATAGAGCAGTTTTTGGCTTCTTTTTAAAGCCAATTACGTTTTTTCAAGGCATAAAGAGTCAATGGGACTGGAATCATTCAGTGAAAGAACTAAATAATTCTGTGTGTCGTCTGCATAGTTATGATAAGCCACCTGGTGTTCTTGGAAGATATAGCCAAGAGCATAAGGTTGAACAAAAGGGGCCCAAGAATGGATACTTGTGGTACACCGCTTTAATATCTTGGTGCACATTTGGTTTTTCAAGTCGTACCAATTCAACACTTTTACGTTATTTTGTATAAATATTAACCTGGAGGGGTTTTCGGGGGTTTTTCTGAAGTCAAAGGGAAGATCAATTTAAAATGTTAATAAAGCTATGGATAAGTGTTTAGATGTTATTACTAGCATACTTTCCAATAAAGGCCTATGCAATTTGGCATTGATAATACGGGAAATGGAGATAGTACAGCTATTACATACATACTCGTTATATTCATGTTTGTCAAGAAAAAAAGGGGAAATTATGTAGTAGGTAGGAACAATTTTTTTAAGGAATTAACATAAAGTATTACCCTTCACTCAATTTTATTGTTTTATCCATTGTGTACTTTTAGATGGAACTGGCCACAGCAAAGAGTGACATGAACCGACATCTGCATGAGTACATGGAGATGTGCAGCATGAAGAGAGGCCTGGACGTGCAGATGGAGACCTGTCGACGGATGATTAAAGGTGGCAGGAACTCTCCCTCTTTCAGCTCCGTGGCCAGCAGCGACTCAGGGAACACAGATGAGATCCAGGACGAGATTTCGGACAAGGACGTAGAGGCCGAAGTCTCTGTTAGTTGATGGCTGCATAGCCGGGCTTTGTCCCATCTCCTCCTGACCACCCCTTGTGTCGTGGGGGTTAAATGTGTATAGAGCTCCACCCTGCTAGAGAGGTGGACCAACTTCAATCTGGGCCTGTTTGACCTGTTTAAGTTCTGATGGTCATGCTCACTGATGCGGGCCCAGAACTGGTGCTTTTATACTATTTCTGTTGTTTAGAAAGTGGTGGTGGTGGTGGGGATGTGGGGGTGTGGGGAGGTGGTGTCTTTGCTTCACAAAGAGAAAAAGGGTGCATATAGAGTCCGAGCTGTGCTTTCTTCCTCACTGCTGCCTCGCTGGATTCTTGTCCAGAGCTTCACATCATTTTTGGGGAGAGAAAGAGAAATTCTCAAATGTTTTAAACAGGCTGAGAAGTATTTTCTACAAATTCTTACCCTATTAAAGTCCTTTTTTTCTAAAGGAATTGAAAATAGTACATATTGTGCTTCTTGTTCGGTGAACAACAAATACATTATTCACAGAAAATAAAAAACATCCATCTTTTGAATTTTAATATTCATTTTAGATGCAGAAAGTCAGTTCCCCCTTGTTTGGAATACTGTTTTGTTTTCGTATTATTTAAGTCCAGGTGGGGTTGTTTGTGATCCAGATTGTCTTCTGCCAAGGAGACAAAACAAGAAGTGGAGACAAATGGTGTTGGAGTTCTGGTGGTTTCTGAGGGAACTCTGCAGGGTTGCCAAAGCTGACAGAGGAAAGGAGCACAGCCTTTTGATGCATCAGTGCACTACTGACGTTCTATGCAATTTAGCTGGCCTTACTTTCAGACTGGCTTTCACCCTTCATCATTTCTCTTCAAACCAATACAATTAGCCTTTTAAGCAAAGCAGGTGTTTTCTATGTATCATTTCGAGAAGTTTTTTTTTGTGTGTGTGTGTGTGTGTGTGTGTGTTTGAGTGTGAAAAAATCTATGTATGGGACATTTGTTTTTTTCATGGACACCAACAGTAAAAAAGTGGAACAGCGCCCCCCCTTGAACAAAGGACAAAAATCTTTGCTCATGACAATAATATAGATGCTACTTGATAATGAAACAATCAGTTCATTGCTCCGATTAAGGTGTACTTTACTGGGGAAACATTGTTCTCATCTTGTGCAGTTTACTTTGCACACATCAAGACATATCATTGTAGATGTCTAAAATGCATTCGTTTTTATGAAAGAGATCGAATAAATTGAAGTTATCAAAGCCAAACAAGGCTCTGAAACCTCTTAAGAAAAACCAAAGGACTCATTTTGAAAAGTTTCCCTTTCACACAATCATTCATACACAATCCTAATTTTCATTCATTGTATTTTGGAGATAGATTTCTTTGGTTATGTTTGGTGTTATTACAAGTTTCCTGCTGTCCTGCAGGGGACTCTGTTCCAGATGGGTGGCACATCCTGCTTTGTCTCTTCTGAATCGGGGCTACAAGTGTCAGACTGTACATAGAGAGCTGTAGGCATGTGATCGTATACCCCAGAGGCCTTTTTGTTCATATTAGTCTTTTGCAACAGTTTGAGATGTCTCACAATTTCGCTTTTCAGTGCTTCCACTGGATTAGCGTAGAAACTGATCGGCGCATGGGGACAGAAGTGATCTTTTCATCACCTCTTTGTATTATAATGTATGTACGGTTTGCTGGATCAAAGATTAAGTGCTACTTCTATCTTGAAGATTTACAGAAGCAGAATGTTAAAATACAGGCCTTTTGTTATTTCAGCATGTTTCTGTGGAGAAAAGGAGCTATGGATCTTTTTTTATAACATTATTTTTTGAACTAAATAGCTGCAATGCAGACTGTGCGCTACGTTTTTAATCAAAACAGTGTCTATCCTAATCATTGATTAATTGTATTTGTGGCAGAAAATGTATTTTTCACTGTTTTTAATCATTTTATGTTAACCAAAAAGTGTGTTAATGTCGCCATATTCAGCTTTTATTATATTTTCAGGAATATTAAACTTGTTCCAGATGTTTTGGTCATTTATTGGCCATATCAGATCACCCATCATAAAAACCAATTGATTATATCAGACAATAGTGAGGGACAGTCTTACTCGCAGAGAAAACGCCACATGCTTTTTTTGTTTGAGTTGATGTAAAACCAGCCTGATAAGTGACAAAGAGCCATTCTTTTATTGGTACTGTACTTTGCAGCGGTGACATCAAACACATCATTTATTGATTGTATGGCTGTAACATCCAAAAAAAAAAAAAAACAGCAGGTCTAACTACACATCACGCTGTCTTTCACATCACTCTGACCATCACACTAACCAGCCAACCAAAGCAATTATGTACAGTAACATACGACAAAGATGTAAATCAAGCTATGAATCCTACTAACTCAGTCTCAGTATTTGTACAGGCCTACCACAGATGTGTTAGTTTGCAGAATCATTCACTCTCGCAAACTATTGGACATTCAGTGTATTATCTCCACTCTCCCATCACTTGAAGCAGGTCCGATTCCAGTTATATCAGTTGAAAATACTGTAGCAACCCTCCTTGTTGAATGTAGCTTGATTGGAGGCATCCTCTAAAGACCTTACAAGTAAATGCTGAGCAAAAAAAAATTGTAGCTTTTTAAATCCAGGGATATATGGTGTGCTGTTACTTCATGGAGACCTTGGTATGTTTTGCTTTACTAAACAGGTTCTTACCTGTGTGTGACCTTGGTGTATGTAAATTAGGTCCTGGTGGATGTGAATGTTTCATACTAAAAGGGTTTTATACGAGTGGTTTTTATCAGCGTTGCACTGGGAATATATGGTTGTGTTAACTGTCGTGTCAACAAACGGTTTTACATGTTCACTTGCATACCTGTTTGCTGTCATTATCACCTTCACTTTTGGTTTCATAAACACGACGGGGAGATAAAAAGGTGCAGCAATACTTGTGGCCATATTTGGGTAAAGTCTACTGATGTGTGTTGGATACTGGTCTTTGCGTTTAATTTGCATCACAGGTCACATCCTGTTGATCCATTTTAAGTGGTTGGTTAATTTAATTGCTTTTCCTTTTCTTTTTGTTTACACTATTGATACAATGTATTCAAGTGGGTCTGGGGCAAAATTATGAATGTACTCAATTGATATTGGGGTAAAATGAAATAAAATGGTGGATTGGATAAAAATCAAGACTAATTTGCTTCTTGTATTTTTAATGCTTTTTATTTAATATTTTCTTGAATTTTAAGTGCAGGCTTAATGTGTTCTGAGTGTTTTTTGTTTGTGTTGTTGAGATAATATAATCTACAGGCTATGTTGTAATTGAAGTAAGCCATACATAATACTTCAAGTACAGTATGGATGCTTTTGTGTTGCAGCTGTAGAGAGGCTGTTAATGTAAGAGTTCACGTATGAGTGTGATGCTTGAAAATTATGATTTCAACAATGAAATCTGCCACATGTTCACATTATTTATTATCATTAGTAGATATTAAAAAACAACAAAGAAAAACATTTAAAAAATGACAAAATATTTTCATGCTAAAATGCATTAAAAGATTCTGTCCCCAAACATCTGAACAGAGCATGGCACAATAGCCGCTATGTCACTCAAAAGTCTATGATTTTATTCCTTCAAAGTTTGTCAGACTAAGCTGCAATGAAGTGAGGGCCACACAATCTGTAGTTTTCATGTTGAAAGAATCTGGGACGCTAATGAAGAAACAGACAGCGGACGTGGCAATTCAAACTATAATGAATATCAGCTAACTAGCAACACGAGTTCTTTGATGTAATAATGTTGGTGTGTATGCTCCATACGTCTAGATCCCCTCTCTCATCTCTCCACCTCAAGAAACACTATTCTTTTGGCCACTTCCTCCTCACTGTATTTCTCCTGCAGGTGCAGGAGAACAACAGGATCAGCAGAGAGCAAAAGACTGTCATCACGTCGATTCCAAAATGGTCCAGAAATGGAGGACGGATCTAAAAGCAGATCCAGCGCAGCGGAGAAGTCTCCGCTGGTCTTCAACAGGGCTTTGGTCACGCTAGCTAAGTCCTAGAAGACAAATCATAAAGGTTAGAAATTGTTACAACCAGACGGATGGAGAGGGGTAGAAACAAGTTGAACAACAGAGAAATAAACAATTCATTACTTAATGGCAATTAAATAATTTGTATTATTACTCCTTTTCTGTCTGAGCTTCTGTTTTCTAGTTTGCTTCTATGACCAAACAGAATATAAGCAAGAATAAAGAGTATGTAACTCTGGATTGAAATGAAGCCCAATGTGCTGCTGCTGTCTACCTTTTGGAGAAACAAAAAATAATGAAGGCTAAACCACATTGCAAAAACAGAGGACCATCTACTACACAGTAACACTCGCCTGGTTTGTCCGGTTCATCAGCTCTCTGATTTGCTGCATGTCCTCCTCTAACTCGACCTGAGTCAGAGAAAGTGCAGCGTCGTTGTTCACTGGTGGCTGCGGTTCGGACGGAGCTGCGGCACTGTTACCGACAAGGGACTGAGAGTCTTCCTCCTGTGATTCTCTGTCAAATATGAACAGGTGGGGCCTGGAGGCTGCGTGGACGGCCTCAGAAGCTGCAGGTTCAGGGCACCCTGTTTCTGGTACACGGTTACTGCTGGGGGACTGGGTCTGTTGTGCTTTCCCCTGAAGGCTGGGTCCAGGTTCAGGGTTAGACTGTGTGGAGACAGGATCTGCGGCTGTGACTGAAGACAGGGGTTCTGTTGATGTGGGCTGTATCGCCGCGGTTTCAGCTGGGTTTCGGAGATCTGGAGCTTCGTCCTCAGCAGACTAATAGACAGCAATGTAACAGTATAAATCTTACTTATGAAATTAACATGGCTCTTTGAGCCTGCCTTGGTGTTTAAGCCCATAGTAGGGATTTAGGTGATTGGCATTTTTCCTTTATTCTGAAATTTTTATAAAAGATAAAATCGAGAAAGCTGAATCATAAAGTTACCAATAAAAATTAATCCCATACAGATAGACTTCATTTACAGTATGTATGGTAATGAATTGTTTGATGTTTGATTTAACATTAAAACTAACATCACAGCAATAAACAATTTCATACCAAATGTATGAAAAGTCACATTCAAGAGCATTGTGAAGCTGCTTGCTGAATCTCTATTTATTAATAATGAATTTATGAGCAATTTTACCAGATGCACATGATCATTTTTACCTGTCGAAACAGGAGCAATTTATCAAATGTGACCAAATTTAGACGATTTAAATGCTGATGAATAGAGCTCATATGAACTCACAATATTATCTTTTGGAAGATTGTTTTTTTCAAATTAAATAACACTGTACTCATGTAGAATGATGACGTCTCTTTTTGGGGGATGAATGAATTGGTAGATATGACTAAATCAGTCAAAGAAATATATGTAAATTCTGTACTTGTTTTCTCTACACATCAAATATTCAACCCACTTCATAGGACATATTTTTTTTTTTTTTTTTTTTTACATACAGACAAAAACAAAACTACTTATAAAAAAATGGAATTAGCATTTCCATTCTCTACCTTTAAACAAGACAGATCATCTAAGCCTTCGTAGCGCTGGTGCTCCCCAGAATATTACAGACCTCTCACGTCATCAGCTGGTGTTTCAATGCACCTAGAAACTGCCTGACAACCTGAGATCTGTCAGACATTCAAACCCAGACTGTGCAGTGTAGTCGTACCTCACTTTCATCTTCAAACTCCTTTGTAGCCAACTCCAGAATCCCCAACTTTCTCTTTTCTTTTTTCGTCTCTACTTTCTGTGGCGATGACGTAGATTCTTCATCTGAGAAACATATAAGGGAGAAAGAAAAAAGGAGATCATGTTTGAGTGAAACATGTTACTTAAATCTCTGTTGTATAAACGCTTGTTAAAGATGAGTTACTGTTACTGCAGAGGAATGACAAACCTGTTTGCTGTATTTCAGAGACAGCAGCTTCTTCACTCTCCTCTTGTCGACTCTCTGCCACCGGTGCCACACTCTTGCCTCTGGCTCTCTTTGAAGGTGGCGGGTCTGTTGCTGTGTGTTTTTGAGCAGCAAGCTTAACAGCTGATTTAGTGTTGTTTACGGGCTGGGGAGATGATGACAGCTTTTTGGGAGAGGTCGACGATGATCTGAGTTTCTTGCTGTAAGGTTTAGGCGATGACGACATCTCGAGCTCAAGGTGCCTACGTGTCAATCGGCGCTGCGGTTGTTGCAGCTCGGGGGAGGCCCTCTGCTTTGGCTGCTTTCTATTTTTTGGAGTTGGAGTGTTTGGCAGGGACTGCAGAGAGTCCTCTGGCGCACTTTCTTTCTGTGGAGAGGCCGTTGTTTGCGGCTCTGCTGTTGCTGGCTCTGTGCTCTCAGCTGGAATGGGGTGGGCATCTGTCTGTGGGTCCAAACAAGGTTCTCCAGGTTGGGGGGAGTTTGATGTCTCAGCCTCTACATTTTCTGGTTGTGTACTTTCAGCTGGTAAGAGCTGGGTATCTATCTGCAGAAACACCAAACTTGTTTTGCTTAATTCATTTCAGTTCATTAAAATTAAAGCACATACAAACAACTTGTCTTTGAGTCATTGGCTATAATGCCTATGTGCTCTGTCTACTGTACCTGTGTTAGGTCTGTTGCTGCTGAATGTGTCTGAGGAGAAGCAGCATCTTCACTGGGAGGTTTCTGAACATCTGTCTCTTGACTTCCCGCCTCCTATAAGCAGACAGATAAGACACTTCAGGCTTCATGTCTATAGAAAATGAACAATAAACAAGGAGTAGTCTAGAGCTATTCCAAAGCTTCATTTGTACTTCAGTAGAAAGTATGTGAATAAGGGCTGTTGGAGTATACTGTATATTTTCATTATTATCATTATAATAAAATTAAAGTCACAGTGCAGTGTGTACAAACGATTTTTTTTTTTTTAATATGCCACCCTCTAGTGGTTGTATGGAAAAATACACTCCCCCCTAAAGTTTCTGCAACATCAACTGCAGTTTTTGGTTATTTTGAAGCTGGAAAAAAAAAAAAGTTCTTTACATAGTTGAACCAGAACATGCTTTTGAATTTTCCAGTTAAAGATAAAAGCCACATAATTCTAATTTTTTAATAATTATTATTTGAATAATAGTCATTGTAACTACTGTTGGCACCATTGTTACCCTGGTATTATTTGGCCATTTTTGTTTCTGAATACCTGAGAGGACTACACAATACTGAAAGGTGTGTTAACATTTCTTTCACATTTTTCAAACATCAACAAATCCTGAACATTATAAACTAAACAAATTTTGCTACTGAATTGAAATGGTTTACATTGTGGAAATTTAGATAACAAAATACCTTGCAAAACCCTCCAGGTAAATTACCTTGATCTCTTCCTCTGCTGTTTTCACCTTCTCAACCTCAGGATTTTTCTTAGCCAGTTGTACTTTATAACGATATTTCATTGACTGCCAGCTGTGACTGGTCACACACTGCTTCTCCATCGCTTGCCAGAGCCGGTTTCCCCCCGTCTCGCTCTTGTGGTTGCTGACATAATTCAAAATGGCTGCATCCTCTTCAGGGGTGTAGGCAGCCCTGCCTAAGTATAATGACAGAAGGTGTTCACACCAATAGATTTAACACAAACAGAAATACACATATTCCTAATGTGACTACAAATGATGTACATGTATATGTTATACAAAAGCAGTGCACATTTTGTGATTAAACTGTACTTTAACAGCTTTTTGTTGTCAGTTTTGGGTATTACCAATTCTTCTTCATACAGAATCAATGGCAGAATGACAAATAACAGTGTTGGTTACATCATACCTCCTAAAACTTTTAAAAAGCACTCTTTGTAGTTGTTAAACAGTCTGCCTGAATGTCTTGGGACCTCTTCAGGACTTAACCTGTAGTCCTCTATATTTAACCGTTCCTCCTTCTCGATACAGTCGTAAATGTACTGGGTGGACACGTACCTGAGGAGAAAACAGACAGTGGTTTCATTTCTGCGCTTTGAACAACTTACGCCAAATTAAATCACTGATGTACATGTTCATGGCAATGCTTTACTGGGCTAAAGATTACAGGTACTCTGCTCAAGTCATTTATATACCTACTGATAACATTAACTCTGTTCGCCCTACTAAATACACACAGAATACAAATAAAATGTACTTTGATGGTCTAATAAAGGTGTTATTAGAGCAGCGCTACACAGCTTTTGTCATTTTATCAAAAACAGCTGTTGTCATCTGTTTTCATTGCAATTCAAAAATAATGTACAGTAACAAACTTGCGAAATTGAAATCAAACAACCATAGCGGCAATATAGTCAATCTGACTTGGAGAACAAGCCCTGCATATGCAACTGTGATAAGTAGTGCTAATAGTGAAATCCAAAATTTCCAATTACTTTATCCTTCTACCCAGTGTCACGAGACTCTCTAGTTAAACAGATGCAAGATTTAGTTGTAACTCCTTTTATTTGTCATCATATTTAAAAACTTGAAATGTTTTATAGACTTACAGCTCCATGTTCAAATCGCCCAAGTGCTTACCTGTGAACGTGTCATTCTCTGCTCCAATTCTGCCTCTAACACGCACAGACTAAAATTTAAAATATGACGAATGAACCCAAAAAACAAAAGTCTTGAATATTACACCATTAAAGACATCAACTTTTCTTTTTGTTTCAATGGACTATATTCCCTCTAATGTAAAAACAGCATCCCAGTCCAGCGCCTACCAGTGAGCAGTGGTTTCACGGAGAGAGCCTCTTTCCTCTGGGTCAATCAGCAGGATTGCACCTGGCTGCTGGACACTGCACAACATCCCTCCTCCAGATGTGATGAGTGGCTGGAGCTTGCTTTTGACAAGACCCGGTCGGAGGAAGAAAGACATGGGTTCACCTTCCGCAGTCTTGAAGAGAACTGAGGAGATATTAGATTTGGCCACATCCTCCTCTTTGAACGGCATGATCAGAATGTCTCACCTGGTGCAAGAGATGAAATTAAATTACAGACAGTACTCAGCACATGTTAACTATACAGAACAGTGCTCTGTAACTAATGCTACGTGAAACTAAAACAGTAAAATCCCGCTTTTACATTAATGCATAAGTATAATAGTCTAATTATATGCTATGTGGCAGTGCAACAGTCACAGGGGGCGTTTAACTGCCTTGTGAACTTTTACTTTTAATACATTAAGCACATTTCCCTGATTGGTCGTCCATATTTTTACGTAAGTAACATTTTCAAAGCACAACATTTACTTGTAATAGTAAACAGGGTGTACTCAGTTGTAAGTTACTGAATTGTGGGTAATAACTAATAAACTAACAACAGCTGTTAATTTACTGGGAAATACTGTCAGATGCAACAGCACCGACACAAAACTGCACACACCTGATTAAAGTTACATCTAAAGGCAATTTTTAGTGACTTGTCCTCAGCCCTCAGAAACACCTGGGAGGAGGTTACCGTCAGTAACAGTAGCTAAACTGGTTAGCACCTTTACTTAAACGTAGCCTAATTACAGGCAGATATTTGTACAGAGTTGCTGCCTAATCAGATGATGTTATACTTACCTAAAAAAGCCCGATTAGGTAATATTAGGCACTGAATGTAAAATGTATAGTAAGCTTTCCCGCCGCGTCAAAAGTCCGACTTCCGTATGTTTTCTTCTTCGGCGAATTGCTTCAAGTAAGTGTCGCATTACCGCCCCCTCTGTTTGTATCTATGGTACTTTGATTCCATCAAAAATCATCCATCTAAAGCCACTTTATATTTTGTGTTTCTATTAATTGATCCTAAATTGACATGTTAAATAAAAAGTGACTGTGATTAATCTAAAATACAAAGAAAGAAAAATAGCAAAAAGGAATAATTAAATATGTGTCCAATAATCAATGAAAAACAATATATTTGTTGTATATTTTAAATATGTTGTTCTGTCTATTCTGTCTAAGGCAGAAGTTTGTGATATTTGCTTGTATACATATATTTTTTTGACTTGACTGTTTTGTTGTATGTCTTTATTTATTTATTTATTGATGTATTTCCAATTTTTAATTTTCATTTATTTATCAATTTATCTCATTATTGGTTTATTCATTTTCCATGTCACTTTTGTGCCCCTGTAATAATGAAATGATGGATGCGGCACTTCACAGTGACTTCTGTTGACTACATCTAAAATAGGGCTTAAAGGTCTAAAAACTTGGAGAACTAGCCACAATGCCTTGACCGAAGCTTGAAAATTATGCTGCAGGCACATATTCATTCATAGAACAGAAATGAGAGTTTATAAAGAAGTAAAAGTGAAATACATAAAGAATCATTCAAATTAAAGTTCAGGCTTATATTATGGTGTGAAAATGGCCTTTATCAAGGCAGACATGTTGAGTTGTCGGAGTAGCAAGACACTAATAAATAATAATCACAACATTCATGAACATACAAGTTAATTCATTTGAAAGCGATTTTGACTAAATAAAAGGCTTAAATGTCACATATGTTATTCCTGTGCCTAAAGACAGTTAAGTCTATATTATAAAGCTAGAAAGACAGACAACACAAGGGGCACTGACTTTCTGTGTCAACAGTTGTCTATTCATGTATTGAAATATTGAATAAATGTCACATCACATTTGTTAAGTGACCAATGAAAATGTGGAATGCACTTTTTAATTGACCCCCCCCCACACACACAATAAGAGCTAATGAGTGCAAATGATGAACTAATACAGTAGAAAAACATATTCCGCCTTGCTAAAGTCATATTCTAAAAAAGCCAAAGGCTTGTTTTCATGTCGGGCCACTGAAATTATATAGCTGAAATTACTTTTAGCTACTGGGAGAAATGTTTTTTCTTGCTAACCCCATAATCTACAGTAGCTGTGTTGTCTACCTCCTATCAGGTCTCATCCAAATTTTAAATTGGACATAAAGTTTAAGATATAAAACGTTCATTTTGGTGTAAGAAACTACACAAACATCTTATGGCCTCACAGCATCAGAGCCCCATTCATTGTTATAGAGCAAACTGGGATGACATTGCACATTTTAAGTTTCTCCCTTTTGTTTCTAACTTTAGAGGAGAGTGCTGCATGTTCACAAATATTCACCAATCTGTTCCACAGGAATAAGAAATGTGTATTCTTAAAAAGGGTTGGATTCTCCTTCAAATGCACAATCCATGATTATGATATAGTTGTTTCATCCTCAAAGCATCTGGTGTAGAAAAATAACAGGCTAAAATTATAAATATTAAAGTCATTATAGAAATCTCTTGGTGATCTTATTCGAATGATCACGTAAACTTTAAAATGAAAAAAGACAAGACACTGAACCACACTTTGTCCTTGATGGCTCTTCCATCAGTGTGTGAATGGGTGAATGTGGCAAATATTGTAAAGCGCTTTGAGTGGTCAGTGAGACTAGAAAAATGCTATATAAGTGCAAGTCCATTTACCCATTTTGCTTGCAGTCAGTCAGGTGTGAGTGGTTATATTTCTACAAATAGAAAGTGCACATACAGGTCAAGTTCTATCATATTATCTTGAATAAACAACAACAATGAACAATTCTAAATCAAAAATCAGTATGTCAATACATTCTCACTTTAAATATACAATCATGTGACAACAAACCAAGCAGATTAAATATACCACTTAGCAGCAAAATAAACATGACTTGCGGAAATATAATGAAATACACTCACTCTACACATTCGGCAAAGGTGAAATGAGGGAGGAGAGAAGCAGCTGAACTGAAGGACAAACAGAGAATGAGCTCAGGACACAGAACAAAGAACACTCAAGGCACCTGTGTGAGCTGCCCAATCAGCACACCTGTTCTGCTGCTCTTCAGCCCACCAGTCATGTGATCCCACTTCCAACAGTGTGCCTTATCATTTAAGTGAAAATGAAAAAAAAGAAATGCAGTAATCCCATTTGCATTTTCACACACCCATGAGGGCGTTCTTTGGCCGTATTAAAATTAATATTGAAAAGCTATTGACAATTAATTTTCAAAAACTTAACCTGTTCTGCAGTGGACAGTATTCAATATAATAAGCAAACAGCACCCACAGTCCATTGCATTTATGTTTACATGTCACTACACTCTTTTGGGGTCAAAATGAAAATGAAAATGCGATCAGTCCTCTCATCAAAGCAGGTCATCACTGAGGATGTTTCTTCATTGTTGCTTGTCTGTCGAGGGCAGTGGCCACTCAATGGAAATGACCAGAGATTTCAAGAATTTATACATTTATTACAATAAGTGATAAGCTGCTAACAGACAGGAGTGTGGTAGTTATTCTGATCCCAGTTCAGGACAGAGATCAAACCAGCTGCTGGCATCAGTGCAGACCAGTGAAACATGAAACTGCACCTTCATTTTGATCAAGGCTCTTCTGCTTAAACAAACATCACAGCTACAAAATAAAAGTTTTGTATGATCATAGGAACTCCATCAGAATTGATAAAGTGTACACAGAGTGTTTATGATCAGATCTTGATGTTAAATAAATCTGACAACACATTTGATCTGAAGAATTCATATATAAATCAATTATTATTATTATTATTATTGATTTATCTTTAAGTTTTGCTCCACTTCCTGCTTGCTTTATAGGATTTGTGAGTTCAGTCCAAGTTCAGTTAAAGTAACATACAAACCAATTTTGGTTATTGACAGAGTGTTTGATCTATCTGTGTTCATCTAAAACTAAAGCCTCAAAAACCCAACTGTACACAGTGGCAAATTAGGCAATACCCCCTAAACTGGCATTTTTCATAATAACAAACAACTGCAGAAGAATTATACTTCATGCAGCGACCACCTCTGGAATCAAACACATAAACAATGACAGTCTAGTGGGAGATATTATTTCTGATCAGTTGATTGTCCCCCTGAGGCAGGTGCTGCTTGTGAAACTCCTTCACTGATTTCAGCACCTTATTAAGAAAATTCATTGTGGTTATATAAAGTTGAACCTGATGTGCTCAGTCAAACCTTGACATGTGTTTTGCATATAATTTCTGAGCAATAAGCCAGGAACATGTTTGGTTTGTTTAGGTTGTAGTTGGGAAATTCAACACTAATTTTGATCATGCACATATGACTGTATTCATCATTGTTTGGTACACAAACACCAAAGTTACCCTCAGGCTCCATCGCTCAAAGATCATGTTGCACAAATGCTCTCATTCAGTTTCTCAGTGTTGTGATAGATACAAAACTGATGAAAGAACCCTCTTATTTTAATCAGACTCTTAAATTAGAAAGTAACAGTTCCACCTTGTTTACAACTGTGGATATATATGTACATTTATTGCTGTTACACACATTCGGAAAGAAAAAAAGGAGTTGAAATCGTGGAGCACTTGGGAGATTTTTATTAAATATCTTGAGACAAAGTAAACGTGTGGGTTAAATGATTTCCTCTCGACACCTACTTTGTGGTATCAGTGGATTGGTGACTCTTTTCTTGAGTTCATACATTTTTCTGTACAAAACTTGGAAATAAATGCAATTAAAAATGTTTATAGTATTTTATTGATGCTTTTCATTTTTAATTTTGTCCTGTGCTGTTATAATTCCCTCTTAAAGGCCAAAACCTTATCAACTCTTTCTAACATTTTCCTTCCTAAATTATAACTATTAGACTTTGTGAAATACACAGTGAATCTTTAACTTTGCTGACTCGATGTTGAGTTAAGCCAGGAGACCATGGGAAGGAATTGGGCTCGCCTGTTTACTGTATCACCTTGCTGACCTTGCCTCCCTCACAGCCCTGACAGCTCCATTATTGTTATTGGCCTCTATTGTTGCTCTCCCTCTTCAGCCTAAGCAGCTGAAACAATACAACAGCCACTGAGGTGGTGCAACTCCTCCAATCAATGTATGTTTATCGACAATCTCTAATAATTAGATAGATGTGAAGAAATTCACTCCTGTGAGCTGATTGTGATCCATCTTCTGCCCTGAAACAGTCCTCTCATTCCTGAGCCATCATCACACTACAAGGCCGATCTGCTGTGTTTATATCACATTATTTTTTTTCCCTTAGAATCAGCAACTTTAGATGTTAACGTGCGTCCAGGTCACCAAAGCATAACACAGTTTGGTTTGGTTTGGCCCTGTCGGAGGGAAATCCCCCTGCTGTGAGGCTCAGCACTTGTTTCAACCTGCAGAGGGAGACACTGCACCACTAAACTGAACACCAGGGCTGTCAATCAAACAATATTTCTATTACTGATGATCATGATGGTTCAGAAGAATGGATTAATATTCTTAATGTATCTAAAATAAAGCGTTTTGTAATCCAATCTGTTTAAACAGTCTGCAGTCAAGTGCATGTATCTGCAGAATGAGCATTTGGAAACAACTCTAGCGAACAGAACAAACCTCCAGCAGAGTAACACACATCATTACAAAACATCTCACTTGATGAATCCTTAGCCACTGGACGATGGACGTGGCCTTAACCGCTGCCGAGACTTCAAGACTGTCTGTGTCACCAGCTGAAGCTTCCCATGGAGCCAGACCGAGACTCCAGTGCCAGTGTTGTTTTGCCTTGTCACTGGGACGCTTGTGTCGTCCCTATCGATGTGCTGGTCAAAAAAAAAACAACTGATCTACAGTCTGAAAAGTCCCAGTTCATGCTGATCCATAGTAAGGCCTCACCTTCACTACAGCCATACACGGTAGAGAAGCACTGCTACTGACAGTAACAGACAAACTGCAAAGATGGAAAATTGAAGATGTGTGTCACTCCTGATTAATGTTCCCAGCCTGAATCTTGCACGGCTTGGAGAATATAAGTCTGCACCTGTGTCCAGTGTCAAGCTCCCCCCAAAGAGATTTTAGCCACGTTTTATGCACATTTTAGCAATTCTTCCTGGATTATAACTTTGGGCAGAGTTCTGCAGATTTGGGAAAGTGCATGGGTGAAATGGTCAGCACAGGTACTCTGTAGGAAAGGGGTTTAAAACTTTAAGACTCCTCCACAGTGAGACAGAAGCACAAAAACTAGCAGTTTGGCAAAGAGTAATTTGTCATTTTGGGAAAAATGATCATTCACTTTCTTTCTGGGAGTTATACCACTCTCATATCTGTCTTTTAATCATGGGGCTGGAGCCAGCAGATTGTTAGCCTAGCTCAGCATAAATACTGGAAACAGGGGGAAAACAGCTAGCCTGGCTCTGTCCAAAGACAAAATGTGCCTACTGATACCTACAAAGTTTCCACTTTAGCATGTTTTCTCATTAGTTTAACTCGTGCAAAAGCAGAAGGGGGTTGGTGGATTTCGTTTCCTTCTGACAAGGCCAGACTAGCTCTTCCCACTCTTTATACTAAGACAACGTAATATACAATAACAGACAAGAAAATGGTATCTATCTTATAAAACCCTCTGTAAGAAAGTGAGTAAGTGTATTTCCCAAAACTACAAATTGAAAATGAAAGCAACTGGATTTTTACAAACGCATTCTCATTTGAAGATTTCACAACAACCTATTACTCCTCTAGTCACTTTACCACATAATAACATTCAGATTTTTTTTTAATTTATGTACATAGTCGGTTTGTCTATATATAAAGCAAATTTGAATAAATACTGAGACACTAAAAATATCTGTCCCTTCACCTGATTAGACAAATTAGACAAGAATGATGTTCTGACGGCATGTTCACCAGCAATGCCGTAATCTGAGGCATGTGGCAGCTTAAAGCAGGTCACATTTCACAACATTACAATAACTTTCCACTTAAGTCTCAATTAATGGTCTTTAAGTGCGAGTGAATGAGTGAATCACTTGGAAAAAATTCAACTCACAAAGGTAAAGTGATGTGGTATAAGCTGTTGTCATCAAAATCAAGTCACGCAATGTTTGAAAAATGTAGGTGGGTGGAACATGGTGCCGTTTGAAATCACAATGTTGCAACAGAACCTTTGTTATTTCTGACGCGTAGGCCTGCTTTCAAATCAAGTCTGTATGGTTTCATGTTGGGCTCTGTCACGTTATCCACAAATCTCATCAGGGACAACGCATAATTAATTATGATGTAAACATGTAAATGTGTTTCGTCTGCAGCTCCTGTGCAGGCTGATGTTCCACATTAAAAGAAACAAACAAGACGTACAAAGACCAGACAAAACAATATCATAGTACATCCAAGATGGAAACCTTGTAAAAAAAAAAAAAAAAAAAAACCCAACGGAACAGACACACACAGGCACATAAAACAATTGAAACCTTAGAATAACCCACATGAACAAACATCACAAAGAACCACAACACCATAACCTTACAAACAAATGCTAAGGATGATTATCTTACAGTGGGGAAACAATGTTTCTACCACCGAAAGTGTAAAATGTTTTCTGGTTGTGCTCACAAGAACATAAAGTGCCTCAATATAAATTCCTGGGGTGTTTTCTGTGTAAACACCAGATTAAACAAAATATCTTTTTTTCCAGAGCTATATTCATCTTGCAGTGGCAGGTGTATCACTTCAGGCTTGTACAAGGACACACACACTCACATATCAGGTATCACACACTGGTGGGAGTGAAATTCCTCTCTGATACTAAAACAAAAGAGAATAAAAAACGAAGCTGCCGTTTCTTAAGGAACTCAAACAAAAACAAAACTTCCTTGTGTAAATCACAAACGCTATCTTTGGACTTGGCTCTGTGTGGACAGACAACAGCAGAAATATACTTTCTGAAAATTATTTGGCAGATTAGCTCAGGAATCTTGGCAGGGTCCGGTCAGCAGAGACTGGCCGTAACAAAGTGAGGATATGCTGACTCGACATAAAGAACACATTTAATTACCATCATCATCAGCCATCCAAGAGGACCATCCGGCCCCAAGCCAGAAAACCCCCACCATCATCTGCCAATTTAAAAGGCTTATTTTTAGGGGCCAAACTTCTCCTTTACTTTGCTACTTTCTCACGTTCCTCCAGCCATTCCCCCAGCACTGTCTGACTTTCTCCTTGTCTCATCTTTTCTCCTTTTTACAACTCATACACATATTCCTCCTATTCCTGACCACATCTTGATCTATAATCCCATAATGTTTTGTTTGTCCTTATAGCCAGACAAAAGGAGCCCCCACAGACAGGGGTTCGAAGAAGAACTAAGATTGTTTACTTAAGTAAAAGTAATATACTCCAACTGCAACAGTAAAATGTTGCTTATGTTTGTTTGTTTACATGGTTTAAAAAAATGCTATGAAATATATATGCACAACAATACTCATATATATATATATATATATATATATATACAAACCCACCTACATACTCAGACATACATGAATCTAAAGTAAACAAGAGCTTGTGCAGAGGAGGTAGGAAGCTTAAAGCTGATAAAGATCTCTCCTAAAAACTCAAGGCAGAACAGACTGAATTGCTCCAAATAAAAACAATGAGGGAGGGATGACAATGGGTTGAGCTGTTTTATTACTATATTACAATGCTTCATAGTTCATAAGCTCATCTGATGTTTTGTATTTAAAATCATTATTTGTAAAGGAACCAGTAACCAGTACTACAAGTAATGTAGTGGAGTAAAAACAGCACACTGGAGTGGAGTAGAAATATAAAGTGGCGTCTAATGGAAAAACTTGAAACTTGTACTTGAGTAAATGTATTTTGTCACTTTCCTCCACTGCCAACAGATGCACATATAGAGATAAAGAGAAGCATATCATATTGCTGCTCTGAGGCAAAAGAGAGTCTTTTTTGACCCTCATCTCCTCCCATTTACAAAATAATGTTGTAATATCTGAGGACGTGTTTCCTATGAATCAAACAAGGAGCTGAAGGGAGTATAATGTTGCATTTTAGGTGGGAACACCCATTCAGGATCCAGAGCCACATGTAGCACAGTGTCAGATGGATAAGATAAATTTGACCGTTTTATATCTATAACTGATGATTTGAAGGGGCTATAATCACTATTTTTAGTAATTAGTAATGGATGCTCCATATGTATACTGTGGGGTCCAAAAATCTGAGGCCACTTACCCAATAGGATTTTTTTTTTTCCTCATTTGTTGTTTTTTCATTTGTTTCCTCAAGCAGTTCAGTTGGTGCAGTTTGGCTACTTGTCAGGACGATACTGTGCAGGTGGTAATGGAGAGGTATCATGATGTAAAATGATTCTCACAATCAGGTTTCACCAGTTTAGAGCCAAAACTCCGAAACCACACAGTCGATGCCCTGACTGAATTATCTGTGCGTTTCTTAAATCAAGAACGATCCATATCTGCTATTTATGACAGTATGAACAGCAAGTAGAGAGAAGAAGTAAGGAAGGTGTGAAAAATACATAAAACCATACAATTATATTGTATTTGATATCCAAAGGGAAGGTGCAGAAATTGTGATGCCCTTCTGTTTCATGACCAAAAACAGTTATTTGCTGAGGCTTCACACAGAATGAGAAACCACATAAATGAAACAAAAAAATAAACAAAAAACAACTGGATTTTTATTTTTTATTACATTTTTTTGAATGACACATTATCAGACTTTGCACACCTCATAGCAACACAAAGTATGCTATAGATAAAATACACCTCACAGTGTATAACATACAGTATAATCTATGTACACATTACCTAAGTATTGTTAATGTGGGTCCAATGGCTCCTGAAGACTCATATCTAATTTCAACATCTTCATCTTCTACAGTTCAAAAAGCTTGGTCCCAATGGTGGGTTTAGCTTTTCTCCTATATGAAGAAACACTTGTACTGTGAGCGAGGAAGAAAACATGTTATCATCTACTGCATGACTTGTGACTTTGCAAAGAACCAGACAATAGGAAAGCCCTGTGTTAATGAACCTGTGCCGTGTGTTAAGGTGACCTGATGTCTCAGTGGGCTAAAGTGTGATGTCATGAGTTTGACTCTGACCTCGCTGTCGCACGCTATCCCCACTCTATCCTCACGCTATCCCCATTCAATCCTGTTTTTTTTTTTTTTCAGGTCTCTTTGTAAATTGGTGTCTAAAAAAAAAAAGGTGGGGGGGGGGGGGGGGGTTCCTTAAGAAACGACTATCATGCCGAAAAAAACGTTTACTCCAAAAAAAAAAGAAAAAAAAACTGCCTCTCTGCTTGCTGATCAAATCTGTATCCACAGACTTCGGTCTTCCGGCATGGTTCAGCAGAGTCCAGATGTTGCAATCGTTCCAACAGGGTGTGTGTGTGTGTGTGTGTGTTTGGTAAGAGACACTGAGGACAGCTGATGTAATGACTATAAAACATTTCCAAGAGTTTGGGTGACTGGAATGCTTTCAAGGAAGACATTGTTTGGTAATGGCTCTTGACGGTACATGTGCTCAGATGACTTCAAGTAAGAGACAGATTTCAAATAAAAAGTTAGAAAATATTTTATTTACAACAATTTTTTTTCTTTTTTCCCCAGCTGTATTAATCCAATCCCTTTTCCAGGCCACCCCCCCCCCCCCCCCCCCATAGTTTACACTTTGCATAGATACAACATAATTTCATTGTAAAAATTATAGCTCAACCATTTTTTTCAGAATTTGAAATAAAACAACTACGGCTGAGAATCCAATTGTTTTTGACAGACATCCATATGAAAATAATACAAGGGACTGTATATATATTATACATTATACGTGTATAATATATATAATATGTTGTTAAACGGCATTCATTTCACAATAAAGTCGAACATCAAATCTTAAAGGCACAATATTGCATGTAAGAGCTGACATCATCGCGGTAATGTGCCCTTAGTTGGCTTCATACTTTCTCACAGTTTGTTACAGGTGACGGAGACTAAAATATGTTACAGGCCACAATCTGATTTCTATCTTTGGATAAAGCTGATTAAAAAGAGATAGCACCTTCACCCCGATGCAAACATCGAAAACAACTGTCTGTGCATTGTTTGTGTGTGTGTGTGTGTGTGTGTGTGTTTGTGTGTGCGTGAGCATTCACGCATTTGTGCGTGTTCGCAGAGGTACTGAAGCACGTACCCACTGCTGCTGCTGTCTAAGACGGTTGTAACGCAACATGAAGATAAGCTGCACATGAACAACACATACTGTACTGTGTGACATGAGGTGTACAATATTCACAGTGATACATTTCTCCTTAAGGCACTTGAAGCAGGCTGTGTTGAGCATTCACAATTTGATGCTTGAGCTTGCCAATAAGAAAGTCCCCACTCTTTCAGTTACTCAGATACTCATCCTGATTGGTGCAATAGTTTCGTATTTAAGTTGGCAGCCTACTCATAGCGAAATGTCCAGGCTCAGCAGTGGCTAAATGACTGTGCACCACAAGTTATTCACATGCTGCTGTCTAGACAAGATCTAAAACTCAGATTCTGTCTCTTTCCTTGATTTCTCTTTTTCCTGTTCTCCCCCCATCTCTTTCTCTGTTTCAGTCAGTCAGTCAGTCAGTCAGTCAGTCAGCCTGTCTGTCTGGCTGCATCACTTGTTTCAACACACCAGGAGCACAAAGTGCTTAATCTCAACTCATGATTTTAAAAATAAAATCTTTTTACTTTCTATTTTATTTCTCTTCCCACTTTTTTTTCTCCTCTTCTCCTGTTAAGTTCTAATACAAGTCCTTCATGATCTCCTGCAGGAGTGGGTGTAAGCACATGTCCACCTCGGTCTTCTTCAGCAGCTGGATGAGGTGGACGTGGTCCGTGACGATCTGACGCAGGTCTGTCATCTTCTGGAGCAGCTTGGCAAACAGCTGCAGAGAGTCTGGGTGGTTTAGCTTCAGCTGCAGCTCCAGCGAATGAAGCACTGTCTCCTGAAGCTGCTCGATGGGCTTCACATTCAGGAGGCCTGGACGGTCTGGAGGGGTTACAGAGACATGGAAACACATCAAAACAGAGTGAAGAAAGGAATAGAAAAACAGGCTCAGGCCACAAGAGAAGAAGAATAGAGGAGACAGACAACAAAGGAAGGTGATATACATGAATGAATGAATGAATGAGAGGCGCAAATAACTAAACATTTACTTCCTATTAGATACCAAATGGTCATATCTGTGAATGGAGAATCCCTTAATTTAGCCGCCCCCTTATTGCCAGACCCAGCTGACTTATTGCTATTTACAAAAGCCTGCTTATCTTTATTTCAAGGTATAATCTCAGTGGTTTAGGTTAATAATTGACTTAAATATCAGATTTTAATCACAATCATGTTCAAGGCCAGACTTTTATCAAGTAGTCACATGCAAACCAGCAATATTAGATCAAATAGTGTGGACCTGTTCAGAAATATCAAAGTAAGAAGAAAAGGGTCCACAGGTCAGTTTGGTTTGCTGTTACACAAGCATTAAAGTTTGGATTTTAAGCCGATTGTTTACTTTACTATTAAGTCATTAGAGCAATGTACAGCAAAAACTGTCATGCCCCCTGCACAAAATACTTTTCTTTTTTTCTATAAATCGTCAATAATGGCACACAAAAAAAAAACATGACAGAGCAAGTAAAGTGAGGTATCTCTCAGTCACTCACTGGGTTGCCTGTGAAAGCTCAATTTATGTGTATGCTGTCAACACAACCCACACTTTAGCTGCTGTTTATTGTCCTCATGTGGAACTGATTCATTCACCTTTAGTTCTGCTCCACTTTCTTCCCAACAATATCTCGTGCCTCCAAGCAAACTGATAAATAGGTCAAGGCTGGCACTAGATTGTGTGTCTATTGCATTGGGTTGATAACCTAGGTTGTCAACACTTTACATTCACAGTGAGCTAGACTGTTCTGATGCTACATTTCTGCCAGAAAATATTTTTTGTTGTAACTACACAATGTGAGAAGTTCATGAAATAAATTTAAAAACCTTACAGTCACTTCCTTAAAGATATTATACATTTAGATAACTCTCCACTTTTAATTAAATGAAGAATTTAGAGAAGTTGTTTGACATGTGGGGAAATATGCTTATCTACTTTCTTGTCAAGCGATTGAGGAGAAGCCTGATAGCATCCTAATACTACTCAGTACTTCCGAGCCAGGCTGGAGCCAGATGATGGTGCTGGAGATGAGCTTGGCATAAACATTGGAAAAGACGTACATTTGCATTTACATTTATTCATTTAGAAGATTATTTTGTCCAAAATGATGTACAATACAAACACTGAGCACAGGGACTCCGAAGCTCCCTTACATGTTTCTAGTTTGTTAAATATCTACAGAAACTGACAGAAAAACTTTCCCTTAAGCGCTACTACAACTCCTCTAGAGCTACTTTCATCTAAGCTATTGAAAAAAACTAAAACAGCCTCTCACCCCCGCTGAGGATAATGACAGCCAGAAACAGCGCCATGTCGCTGTCGTCCAGCTCCAGCGTGTTGAACTTAACAGAGAACTCAAACTTTGGTTCCATCATTTGACAGAAAGGTTTCCTGAGACTCTTGAGGAACTCTCGCGTCATGAAGATCTGTCCATAGGAGATCAGTGTCCCGTCTTTGTTCATCAGAGGTGCCATCATGATGATCAAGACCTCTATCACACCATACTTCAACAAGGTGACCTGGGAAAAGAGTAAAGGGTTGAGGTCATGGTAATCAGATCCTAAGGGATGAAAGCTGGTTACCTGTTTGTTGGTTTGTTTATTTTTCAGCAGGATTACGCAAAAACTACTCAACTGGATTGCACCAAACCTGGAGTGATAGAGCATGGGCTATGGATGAACTCCCTGTTCTCTTGACTGTTCTTACTTTTTTAAATTACTTTCCTTAAGAGGCATTTTTCATAATTTTTGTCAATTTCTTAGGAAATAACGTGTGGATCTTGATGTGAAACATCACATATGAATTGCGCTGAGATCTATGAGTTTGTACAATTTGGTGCAGATTCAGATGAAATGATATGAATGCTGATTCCGCATTACACACAGAGTTGTACTCAGTATTGATAGCAAGTAGCAGTGCATATGTCACCAGCAGTTTTTATGAATGCTTAACAGTATTTAATTCAACATGCAACTAATAAAATTACATAAAAACAATAGTGGTTGTGACATAGCAATGAAACAATTCAGACAGCTGTAAAGCCGTATAACCATTTCTCCATTTCACCCAACAGGTAATAAAACAATACAGCTGTCTTGTGTAAAGATTAGAGATAATAAATAAATAAAGCTACCTGAGGACAAAAGACATGTGTGGGATTGTTTGGCTCTAGTGAGGGCCAGTCTAGTTTTTAATGGTTTCATAATCACGAAACACCTCAATAGATGAAAAACTGGCATCACTTAATGACAGAAATGAATGAATGGACGAGCAGCTGAGGCATCTTTGCATCTCACCTGATCATTTAGATCCAGATCAATGAACCCCGGGATACTCTTGGCGAACTCTGTCACTTCTCTCACTGCTTCAGCCGAGCGCGACTGACAGCTGTGGAAGAAACGTAGCTCCACAGCGTCCGTTGGTCCCTGTCCGCTGATGTTGGTCATTCCGAAAACACCACACTCTGTCCCCATGTGAACTCCTGTGACCCCTGAAATCGAATGAGATGTGCATAGCAGTTCAGCTACAGAGGTACGAGAAGAACTAACCAGCCCCCGCAAAGTTTTAGAATATCTTCAATGCAAACAGCAGCCGGCGATTTAAAGCTCAGTCAATAAAGGAACCTAACATTGTGGGATGATATCAACAAGCAGGAAATGCAATATGACGTTTCACACGGTACGTTGGTGCTACTAACCTCCGTGTCCAGCTGTGAGGGCAGAGGTCTGCTGCTGGTGCTCCTGGATGGGTATCTGCCTGCAGTTAATAAACTGCTCTCCTTCCATTAGAGACTTCATATCATGGATGACAAAAGGCTGGAGGTAGAGAGGAAAGAATATGGAGGAAAAAGGAAAGGTGGGAGTAAGACAGAGCAGGTAAGGAAGGTTGGAAGAGAGCAGAAAGAAAAGCAAGAGAAAAAAAAAGGAGAGAAAAAAAGAAACAACGTCAGCTCGTCATAGGGCTCTTGAGGACATGTGAGCTACAGATGCAATCACATATACTGTCTATGCACTTTGGTCATGGCTCATTCTTCACCTGCAAAAGCAAACACTGCACATCTCATATGTCTTATGGGCAAAGTAAATAAATCTTAGCTGCAGGCTGAGGCAGACGAAAACACAATTTCCAGGTAAATGAAGCTTAACTGAGTTAAAGTTGAGCTTACTGTTTGGTAAAACACTGGCAAAGACATGCAGTGGCCTGAAAGATGAATAGTACCATTCATACACTGAAATCTTCCCTTTTCATAGTGGTAAAATGAATAATTAGATGTCCTGCAGGGAATTACACAAGTTCTGAAACGAACATTATTTCCTGTGTGACTGAAACAAAAAAAATATAGCAAGAGGAACTGTGTCAGCTTTTTTGCTTGATGTTGCCTGTGTTAACTTTTAAAAGAAGAAACAACACATTCAGTCTCTTGTTAATGAACAGTTCGGCTCACAGGCTTTGAAACACACCCTTGTTTGCTGCCACAGACTTACTTGGTGAGCAAGCTAGCAAATCTTAGCTAGTCTTAGCAAACTTTAGATAGATGTTGCTGTATAACAGACAGACACAACCAGGGTGCATGTAACACAGACATTGATGAGTCACTTCATAACTGCTAGCAAAAGTAACTTTAGTTAAATTGAAGTTTAATTTGAACAACCTAATGAACAGGAAGCAGGTGTTCATGTTGCTGTTTGAAAATTCATCAGCTATACAAAGATTCATTTCCACTGCCTGGGTTTTTGGCCAAAGTTGCCATGTCTGCCTTTTTATAAATGAATTTGGTTTGTTTATACAAAGAATAAATTGAAACTAAAGATACAATAATCTGGTTTCAGGTTGGGGTTATTTCTTACTGGTCCATTTCCCTGGACTGATCAAATGTCTATTGCACAGAAACATCATCCCTTTTTATAAACCAACTCTGCAAATAACTGCAGTCACCAAGAATAATAAAAGTTCCTTCACCTCTGATGGCGTGTGTGAAGTGCAGGTTAAACTAAAAAGCATCAGCTCATGTCAAAGTATAACAATTATAAATATTCTACAAAAGCTAAATCAATGATCCTCAAGTTCTTTCAGGAGGTTTGCTGTGGTTTAGTGAACAACCGAGGACTCCCTCACACAAACAGATGATTCAGTGCCGTTTGGCTGCTATCACTCAGATGAACAGTCATAACAAGCAGACGAAAGAGATGTGGAGCAGCCTTGAACTTGAGCCGCGACTTAACCGAGAGAGAAGCAACAGGAAAGGGAAAAACCCAAGCTGCTGCTTGTAGAGTTGGTCTTCAAATATACAGCCAATAATAATAATAATAATAATAATAATAATAATAATAATAATAATAATAATAATAATAATAATAATAATAATAGAGGGCTGAAGACCTGCAATTGGTGACATTTTGGTTAATTTCCATCCTTTCCAATTTACTGAATTGTTACTATTACTGTACTGAAGTAAAGGATCTAAGAGCTTGTTTCACGACTGATCCTGACTTGTGTTGGTCACTTAGGTTAAATGTTCCACTACACACTGCGCTATAAAAGAATCCAGTTTTGCATTTATCTTGCAGATTTATACATAGCTGCATCCTATGTACATCTCATACATTTTTCATTACAGAATATTCACTGCAGTTTTCTTAGTTCAGTCTGCCTCACTCACTTGCAATTGAGTTGATGTGGATTTCCTGATTAGGTCTTTTTTGAATATTGAGATTCAATATGTCAAAACCTTAAGTACAAAAAGACAGACACAGATGATATCTCACATTTTCATGCTTCCAGCCAACACATTTTCCTACAGTCCATTAGTATAAATGACCAAATGTCTTAATAAATTAGTTTGATTTTTTGAGTAGGAAAGTTGAAGCCATTAGTGTACTGTACATCAGACTGCTGAGAAGCCACGTCATCCTGTTTCATAGCTTGACCACTGTAATCTGAGATATTTTCTAACAGCCAAGACAGGTAGAAACCAGTCGAGCCACTTTTTCTGTTGGAGCAGCAATAACTGTCTGAAAAGATGTTAACATATGCAGTGGTGCGAAAGTTTGAACTACTTCAAGTGAAAGTTCCTGAACTCCTTCAGTTCAAAGTTGTATTGTTTTTCCCTAAATAGCTCCTTGTGTCATTTAAAACTTACAGCTGCACATGGGAGAACATCTGTATAATTCAATCTGTGATATAACGTGTAAGTCAATATACAGATATTTTTATAGCCAGGAAGGCTTCTTTATGTGCTTCCTGGCTATGAAAATATCTGTATATTGACTTACACGTTATATCACGTCCTATATCTGATATTTTGGTAAATATGAGATTGTGTAAATTTTTGCTTGTCCTGTTTTGTAGCATTATGATGTTATTACTTTTAAAAATAAATGTACAATACTGTATGTGCTGTTTGGTTTGTGTGTGGTGGTTGGGTTGCTTGTCATATTAACCAAAACAGCTTTCAAAAATATAAAATTTGCACTGTACATCTCAATTATGTAGGACACAAAGCCGACAGGACAGAGCAACTGGTCCAGCAGCTCAGATCAGAGCAGGGCGAGGTGAAGTACAGTAAATGTTGATGATACGGCTGATGTCTCTCTGGAATCCAAAGATAGATGAGGGCCAAATGCACACGGCAAATAACTTATGAAAGGAATGCAAACAGTCAAATCAGGTAACAGGAGAACTGAGCTTTTGAACACTAAAATATGAAATTACACCTGGGATGATTTGCTGAACTGTTAAATACAGTATCATAAGAATATAATCTATAACAGATACATTTTGTATCTACATGTAATCATCATGTAAATGGTCAAAGCTTCCCTCACCACATAATTACCCTGCTCATGTAGCGAACAGGCCTGCAATAAGTTCCAGTGCTGTAAATTTACTGCACTGTGAAATTTCAATGGAAAGTTCAGTTATAGAAACGCAGGCAAGATGAAGACTCCTACCATTATGTATACAAATAAATAAAATTCAAGTAGAAGGCGGTAACGCAGTGCTGCTTACCGCGTTGTCTCCAGTCTTCCCAGAGAGGATGGCCCTGGCCTTGGCCTTGGTGAGGGGGAAGTATTTCAGATAGGCCTCGTACAGATGCCGGGACAGAGCCCTCAGATCTGCTGCCTCCGGGTGCATGTGCTCCATGTCGGACGAGAACTCAGCCAGCAGCTTCTCCTTCTCCGCCTGGGGCATTCGGCCAAAGCGAATAGCTGGGAAAGGAAACAGAAACATGCATTAGTACACAAATAGACAAACACAGACACAGGTTGCCAGGCAGGCAGACATACAGGAGCACACAGACAGATAATTAAAAAGCAAGAGTAATCACACTGACTAGGAGGAGTGTTGACATATTAGATATATGTAGGTGGGTATCCATTTGCGACTTAACCCCCCCCCCCCCCAAATTCTAGTTCAAGAAGGAACACATCAAACCACTGAAATAATGTACCATCTCAAATCCATTTCATATCATTCAGCATTAGCCTTAATATTCTCAATAACACTCTAACAGCACACTAACAGCACTAGTGTATTATGTTCATTTGCTTGGTGACCTCTTAGCCCACTTATTGCTTAACTTTCCACTTTTTTATTGAGCTTTTTGGTTACTTGACATTGACATTGCAACCATGGTTGTCAAATTTATTTATCACAAACTCTAATATTTGGGCAAAGATTGGAAAAATTGGATCGACCAGCTCATGTCCAAAAAAAATGACCTCCTATCTGCAGCAAACAAACACCTTATTACTAAATACAGCAGTGAAAAAGGGTTGAAGAATTAATGACATTAAAATCTGGGATGATTCAGTTCAGATGGGTGAAAGTATTTCTTTTAGCTGTTGCTCAAGAATACTTTTGGGACTCACTTTTCTTAACTTGTCTTTTCATAATCCCAGCATTTAGTAACGACCCTTTCAACTGCCCAGATGTCAGCACATTAAACATAATTTTGAAATACAGACACAGGAAATTTTGTATAATGGAAAGCTTCCCAGCATTGCGCCTGGAAATCCAATATTTCTGAATTTTGAAAAGACAGCACTGCCCTATAAATACAGCAGAGCTCAGACATGACTCACGCAGCTCAAACCATCTTTCAGTGAAAGGGAAAATCAACGTAAGACACGTTCCTCATGTCACCTTATGAGGTGTGTCTCATGAAGAGATTACAAAATTTAATTCCATTCGATATAGTGTTTTTGCGTTATGATGTTTCCACAGCTCACTGCAAAACCTGAAAAACTATCTTACACATTTTAAACTAAGTCTCTTCTCACCTTTCCAGCTGTTCCAGATAATACAACAAGGTGCATTTACAAATACATGCACCAAACAAAGGAACCAAGTTTTTTTCCACTTGTCAAAGATCAACTTGACATTGTGTTGCTGTCAGTTTTTACTGCGGAGTGGTTTTACCTTTTCTATTTAGCTTCTTCTTGTGTTGATCACGAAATGTACATCACTTTAGAAACTTTTTCAGAGGTGGTTCCATGTCTTTATATAAAAGAGGATACCTGTTGTACTATTATTTCCAATGATTTTCCATGACTCAAGCTATAAATAATCCATCTACATTGCATTACACCCGACAAAGGTATTGCTGTAATCTAGCTCCTATGGTGAGTTTGGTGAAAATGTTCTAATCTACCTGAAATCTGATGCCAAGTTGTGAAATGGTTAAACTTTCTTTTTCTGTTAGTGGAAGTCATTAATTATCCCTCCATTCAAGCCTGTCCTCTGCGTTTACTCCACTGTGTGTGTGTGCGTGTGCATGAGTGTGATTGTGTAATGCTGACTGTGCAATGAATGCACACCTTAAGCAAATGAATACAAACTAAAGCTGCCCCTACCACGAACAGGGCACCGAGCCGGCAGCGGTGACACAGCAGATCGGAGAAATCAGTTGAAGTCTATGTACTCCGAGATGTCAATCATTGATAAAGTCAAAACACTGAGCAGATTTTCAAAGCACCTGCTGTACCTCCAGAAATAACTTTAGAGATATGAGGGGAGGTGGAGGCAGGGAGACAAACACAGAGATAAAGTGGCAGGACAGGAGAAAGAAAACTACAAACTGTAGACGCTAAAACTGTTTGTGTTGTTCAGTTTCAAATCCACAAAAAATCATATTCAACTTCATCTCAAGCATGTTTGAAAAAAATTGACTTTTTCAGCTCCTGGCAAATTCCAAAAATGGGCTAAATTTGTTTTGTCTTCTGACGTGCAGTTTGAGGGGAGGCATGACTTCTGATTAATTGCTTTTATGATCAATGATCTGGCTCAGTGAGGATTGGTTGGATATCTGGCCAACTGTCTGCACTTTGAGAAGCTCCATGGTCTGATTTAGCACATGACTCCTATTTAAATATCTGCTAAAAACTGTAGGGAACTTTTTTTTTTAAATAGTCCTTTATTCTTGCATGTGGATAAAACTGTTGTCTTGAAAATGCTGTGATATCAAACTGAACTTGAACTGAGCACTGCTGAATAGACAGAACACACTGTCTGCCTCCAGCCATCTGCAGTGCTGTATTTTTCTTTTTCTTCTCTCCTTAGTTTCTCTTGATAATTGTAGAAAAGCACAAAGTAACGCTGACTTTCTCTCTTTCTGTCAACACTGCCGAGGACACGGTCATCCCGTTTGAATGAACTTTACTGGAATTGTCAGTGTGAGTTCAGTGTGAGTACTCACGTCCTGCTGGTCAATTGATCCCTACAAGATGAATGAAAAAAAAGCCTTGTGTCTGCCCAGCTTTAGTCAAGATGCATCTATTCTAACAGCTCAGCAGCAGCTGTGCCAGGAAATCTGCTTGGCACAGTTTCCTGACTATAACTCTAATTAGCCAAACGCATGTTCGGTCACCTGTGTGCCAGATATTCTCATGAAAGCAGAAAGCTGTGTTGAATCAGCCAACAATAGGATTATGTCCAGAATCTGTCTCCCTGTATTAACTATTAAATATAGTATTTGAGTGTCCAAATTCTGAGTGTGAATTTTCAAAAATGCAAAAATACATGCAAAAATTAACACTACATCATGCAACACTACACCTCTCAGTGATGACGATGATGATGGTTCATAAGTGTCTGAAATATAAGTTAAATGCTCACCATAAAACAAATAAGTGTATATTATCTACTGTAGGCAGTAGATACAGATGTCATGTTAGTACCAGATGTGGACGGGTCTAAAGTTCCCATGTACCTACACAGGTACTTTCAATTAATCATTGTTATACTGGAGTCACCCTGGATTCCCCTCCCCATTGATTTAGTTGAGGAGGAAGGTGAGAGGAATTTGCTTTTGGATGCAAAATCACAAGGATGCCCCAGGTCCAGCCAGTTGATTTGACAGAGGGGGGTGGGATTGACCTCTCATTCAGAGAATTTTGATTTTCTAAATGGCTAAATAACACAAGCAGCAGAGAAGGAGAGATGCTGCTTGGCTGCAGTAAGTGCGCACGCAATGATAGAGGATAGATAGACAATAAAGTTTTTGATAAAGAGTTGTATAATCTATAACACTGCCAGCTTCTTGCCTCCGCAATGGAACACATTTCCCCAGACTCAAGTCTTGTATAATGACAGCGTTCAGGACAATGTACAATATTACACAATATTACACTAGTCGAACACTAGCCTGTAACATCACAGCCTTTTTCAGAGTGGGAAGACTTTTCAGAGATCATCAACGATCTTAAATCATAGAGTGAAAGCTGTCATTTGTCTCAGCCTAACAGGTGCAACAAAACTAACAGGAGAATCAGGGAGATGTCAATCAGGCAAGACCTATGCACGCCTACACAGTCATGAGAGCCATGCTGAAACTCACCTGAGGAGGAGGAGTCAGAACTTGATATGAAAAGGGCTATAGCTGTACCAGGTGATGCGCTCCAGTGGGCAACAAAGGCTGACAAAACAAAACCATTCTCCTGAAGAACAGTAATGGGTGAGGGCGAAGATTTCCACTAGAATAAGAATTTTACAATACAGTACATGATTTCTCTAGATATATTGTACTTTGATGTGGAGCTTGTGACGTGCTGTCATCTGATAGCTTTGACCTTGTATTTCAGTGGGTAACTCCACCAATCATACCTGAGATCACCTCAGATTGTTGTTATGAGACGCTAGCTTGTGAATCTAAACGGCTGCAACGGTGGGAGCAGCAGAAAACCGAGCTGGGCGTGGGAGGTTTGGGCAGTTCCTGTAGTGTACCATGGCTGTGCAAAGGGCTGGTGGATTTAGCTTATTGCATTTGTTAAGTCTAAAGAATTTCATTCAAAGTTATTATATTGACAATGTGTGTATTATGAGTGTTGTCACAAAAAAAAAAAAAACTCAATAGCTGTAAATTGTTAGCCCACAATGCATCATAATGATATCCGGTATTATATCTTTACTGCATCCTTGATCTTCCTGTATTTTTAAGGTGATTATGAAATATTTGTCCAAGGCCCACAGATGAAAAACGCTGGTGCCTTTACAACGTTAACTGATGAGACGATTACAAATACGTACTGTCTGTTCATAACTCAGCGACAGAAATGGTAGAAAACCCTCACCATATCTGTCATATGCACTCACTTTGTATATCGTTCATGCACGAATTTAAAAACTCAACTTAAAATTCTGACATTTTTAAATGGCCTATGAAGGCAGCACAACCATGACTGTTTGTGAAGTTCACAAATATACAGCAGGGTCTTTTTTGGACTCCTCTGTACATACAACACAAAGTGGTTCGCTCACATCACTGATGTGCTTTCCACACATTCAAATAGCAGCAGAGCTGATAGAGCACATAGTGTTTATGGGTGTTTTTAAGCCACTTTCTTGTTGGTACACAGTCATCAGAGTGTGAACACAGTTACTGCCAATTGTTGTTTCGATTCTGCCAGAATGAGCCTTGGGAAGCCCAATATAGAAAACCCCAAAGCCAGGTAGAAATTCAGGGCTTTGGGTGTTAGGGGGAGTTTTAAAGTTAAAACCCTTCAACCACAGTTTCATTTTTAAATTGTGCTGTCAGGGTATGTTTTTTTTTTTTTTTTTGCACAAGTGCTGGGAACTGAAACATGACCCCAGAGGTTGTAATACCACAGAAGAAGCAACTGGCAACATACAAGACAGTGGTGTACATTGCTGCATACACTACCATCACACCTCAAAGACCAAACTGGCAACACTGTGGTGAAACCTGTGTCTCCTGTTCTCAGAGCATCAGAGGAAGAGGAGCTGGTCTTTAAGATGACACTGCCTGGGTCACAATTTCAAAGAAGAATCAGTCTTTTTTACACATGCTTATTTATAGTCAGTGTAAATAGAGGGTTCATTCCTGTGTGAAGAACAGGCAAGTAAAAACCTAGATGTAGGGAGTGCCCATAGGTGACAAATAAATCAAGAAGGTGACACATACTGTGATTGTACACTGATTGTTCTAAGAGGTGTGTATGACAGCATCACCATCTTACCGTTGTGTGACATGCCGACATTGAGGCACTTCTGGAAGCGACAGTATTGGCATTTGTTGCGGGACTTCTTGTGAATACGACAGTGAAGGTCGCAGTGGTCGTACACCAGCTTTAGTCTGATTGTGCGTCTGAAGAAACCCTACGAAACAGAAAGAGCAAAGACAATTAGGCCTACTTACGGATGTTGGCACTGCAGACATCTACCTTGTTTCTTTACATTTGCTCTACTCTGCTAATTCTGCTCCTTTTCTAAGAAGTGGCGAGAGAGTTGTGCCACAACTTGTGCAGGAAATGCACATACACTTATTTTAATGTAACTATTTTCTTCTATAGGATTGATTGTGTTGGGCTGACAGGTAAATAAGACAGTTAAAGTATGATCAGACACGTTAAGGAAAAAAAAAAAATTTGAAAAGACTTTATTGGATCTACCTTATAAACACAAAAAACAGTTGTACCTAGATCATAAGAGAGGCAAAGATGGGATATTACAGAAAAGATGAAAAAATCATTTTGATTTTAAAATTCTCATTGTTTCATTCAAATTACTTTTTGGTGATGCAGCAAAAAGTGTCTATTGAGAGATGCAGATTAGATTCGTGGGTCTTTCTAAACTGTGAGGAAGTCAATTATACTGCTCACAGCTGGATTGAAAAGCAGACTGTATTTTAGGGTGGGTTTGTGCTTTGATGTTTTCAACCTTAGGACCAAAGGAGCCATAAGACTTGTGCTTATCTCAGCTATTAACTCAGCAGCCACGGTCAATCTCGCAAACACACACTCCTACACACAGTCACGGTGTTTGTCTAAGATGACTAAGAAAGCTAATGAAAAAAAAGAAAAGAAAAAGAATTTAGTAGGACAGAAAAAGAAAGCAGTGAGGGGCGGAGGTTCTAATAGGAGAAGTGTAATGAGACTTTACTCAAAGTATACAAATCCCCATCTGGACACAGGTGGCTGGAGGCTCGGTGCATTTGGCATCTGCCTTCCTACAATCCCCAGATGTTCCCTTTTTAATCGTAAGTTATTTAAAGAAGGAGGAAGTTAAAGGGGGTCAAGACTCCACCTCAATAAAGAATGTTTTCTGTTTTGAAACAATTAAGTGTTTGCCTGCTTGGCTGACCCCATCTTCTGGTGAGTCTCCCATGAGACTTTAGCAGAACAATGACTACTGTACCTTAGCTTCATTCAGCCTCTGGAGGTACAGTACGATTTAGACTCTGTACATTATAATGGATCCAACACAACAGCCCTGACAGTGTCACAGAGGTGCTGATTCCTCTCTATAGTTAAGGCTGTAGTTAGAGATCGTATTGTATTGGATTCCATTACACTGTAAGTCTTTTTTTTTTCATACTTTTGTTGCTCCAACGTGCAAATAAGGTTGAAAAAATATTAAAAACACATTTCAATATAACACAGTCTTGTACGGCACTATCACAATGTAAAGCCTCAAAATGTATTGTACAATTGAGTCAACATACAAACAACAGAAGTGGTCATCTCTGAGAAAAAAGGAGCATTTTTAAAGGCTGGCAAAGTTCTGAATATTTTTTATTGACAACAAAAACCAACAATGTGTTTGTTCATCTTTCAATACTGTCTGACTTTAATTTTCATTCTCCTCATCACAAACATGGGCTTTGATTTTTAAGAAAGGCTAAAAACTTTCCTAAAACAGCTGGGAACTATAGTTTTATGAAACTGTTAGACAGGGGAAGGCAGTGGATTTGTTGGGGACAAAGTTACGCTGCGGGTTTAGTTTACAGCACCTGGACGGCGTATGTCTCGCATGTACCCGTTATCATTCTGCTATTGGGGAAATAAACGCTCTGACTTGTGTGTATTTGTTTAAACCAATCACAGGCTCTAAGCCCAGGATGCAGCGACGGTGCCCCTGCAAAATAGTGTCGTCTCTTCAGTAAGAGACGTATATGGACTGTGTGATTGTACAATTCCAAATCTTTGTCAAAACTTGCCCATTTTCAGCGAGTAGGTTTCAAACTCAGAGGTTGCTGTTGTTTCCCGTATCGAAGGGGATTTTGAAAACGGTAAAAGGCAGATAGCAGAGGGGAGGAGAACGCAATTGGCAGTAAAGTTGACAGGCGATGGCAGCCTTGTACCCACAGTCTATATCCGATGAGTCAGACCAATGCGCCACCAACTCAAAATAAACTACAGTGTCCATGTTCATTGTAATAAAGAAACATGTTGCCCCGTGAGGCCATGTGGCTCATGTATGTGTTTTAATAGTTTTTGGACAATACATAAATCTATGGCATAGAGGAATAAATGATACACAAATTTACCTAGTTTAATAGATTAAATCTATTGTTGGTTACATTGTACAGGTGATTCTGTTTTATGGTCACTTGTGGATTTTTATACTTTGCAAGTTTCTTTTTTCTCTGATGGTAACAAAGTGAAGGATTTTAGTCCAAAAAATTTAGATTTTTTTTCAAAATTACAAGTGATTGTATGCATAAATAACTGATCTGTCATTTTAATAGTTACCTATAATATCTAGAAAGCCATGCATTAAAGAAAATATCAGTTTTCAAATCTTTTTATTTGAATAAAAAGTAATCACATCTAACAACATTTACCATATTCTATTTTCTATTATAAGTCTTATTGAGCTTTTCTTACACCTTAGAGGCAGAGCTGTAAAACAGCTTTTCTAACTATTTTTCCTGGAATAATTTCAGACCTGTGAAAACATCTGCAGCTGTTTCTGAAAATCTGTCTCACATGTCTTAGGACAATGTCACAATTTATAGCTACTCTTCTTATAATGTCTCAATACTTCAAAGAAAATGGAAATATGTGTGAAACCTCCCCCGCACTCTATTAGTTATTTATACTCTATAAAGATAGACAAACAGACAGACAGTTTAAGGTGCTGGCTGTATGTCTGTAGAAGCAGAAGCATGTGCAGGATGGAAAAAGTATGGGGCTTGTGGTTAGAGTGACAGACATCTAAAAGATGAAAAAAAAGCACAATTCTCCCCAATGCATTATAGAGTTTTTATTCCACCAACCTGTTTCACCTCAGAGTGACACATGGTGACAGAAAAAGGATGGCTGGCAGAGAAACAAAACTTTGCAGTAGAAGTTGTTACACCCATCACCATTTCCTGACATGACTCTAAGGTGGTATGACGGTCGATTTTTTTTTTCTTGAGCATTACTTTTTGAGAGCAGCAATCATTCTCTACTGCTGTGCACTGTCATTTAAGATGTAATCAACCTTTCTAAAATGACAGGGAGCCAGGTAATTCCTCAGTCGTCAAAGGGAAAAATTAGCTGCCTGAAAATTTATCTGCAACTATTTTGATAAGTGACTTTATGAATAAAGTCATTTTTCGAGCCTCTAAATTGCAAAGATTTGCTGCTTTACTTTGTCTTTTGTGATGGTAACTTAAACACCTTTGGGTTTTGGACAAAAAAGTCACCTTGATAAACTGAGATAAAATAAATAATTGTAAATTGAAGCCATAATGTAATCTGGTATTTTAATCACTATTATATAGCCCGCCCCAATTTGTCTTAGCTTCATCTTTGCTCATGATATCTTTCAGTCCTACCTTACAGCCTTCACAGGCATGGACGCCATAGTGAAACCCTGAGGCTTTGTCCCCACACACGCGACACTCGATGTTTAGTGATGCCGCTGCCGTATCGTCCTGGAGCTTGGAGAACACGGGACTGTCAGAGTACTGAGGTGGCGACTCCGGCTCCAGCTTGATTAAATCTGACAGAAGAAGGACACATAATCAGGCAGGTGGGACAGGTGGACAGAGAAAACTAAAACTCTCTGACCTTAACAGTTTGTTGGTTAAATCTGTTTTCTTTAAATGTGATGTATGAAATCTCTTCACTGGCTATAACCACTAGTGTGATGATTTATCAATATCTGTACCAGCTCTCCTCTTAATGTGGTACACCTGAAGCATTTTCACATTCTTGTGCAAGGAGCTACTTAAAAGAAGTTGCATATGACTCAGGCTGCACCTCCTGCAAGTTATTATTCAGCTACAGAGAAAGAAAGCAGATAACGTGCTTCGGCTCTGGTTAACCCATCAACCATACCGGACTTACTGTGCGTGTTTGGCTCCGTCCTGTAGCTATGCATGTTCGTGTAGTCCATGTTGGTCAGGTGTTCTTCGCTCTGCGGTGGACTGGGGTCGTAGGCCACGCCAACGGAAGAGATGGAGGATACAAGTGGGGGAGACAGGGAGGAAGGGATGGAGGTGGAGGAGATGGAGGCGTAGTCTAATGTGGACAAATGCTTCATGTCGAGGGAGTGGGAGCTGTCGTCCAGCTCCGAGAGGTCCACGGCGCTCAGACTGAAACCAACAGGCCAGGCTAGGAGCTGCTGGGTGTCCACCATGTCTACTGTGGAGAGAGATGAAGCAGTGCGGAGTCAGCGGATGCAATATCCTTTGTTGACTGTATGTGGCCTTGTTAAAAGAAAACAACACTAGAAGAACTCGAGAGAGGAGGGGAGGAAGAGGAAAAGTTGGAGAGACAGAGGGAGAAAGGGAGGAGGAGATAGAAAAAAGAGGAGAAAAACAGGAAGGGAGAAAGAGAGATAACAATGAAAATGTGCATAGACAAGCCGACATTCAGCAATGTACATGGCGTTAATGATTAAATATATCAGTTCAAAATAGGCTAAAACATAAACAATGGATACACACACTCCCATGTAAACACGATGATGACTACCCCCCCGGTCCTCGGCTCGTTCCTGCAGTCTGTCTGTTATCTAGTAAACAGGGAGGCAGATCGTGTCACAGGGAGTACAAGACGAACTCTGGCAGTAAAGAATGCCTCTTCTGCTCAAAACACCGTCTCCCTCTGTTGCTGTTTGGGTGGCTCACTGTGTGATTGCCCAACCAAAGGACACAGAAAGCAGGACAGTCTGAGCCTCAGTCTGTCTGAGGCCAAGGATGTAGGATTCTGAGTTTTGGAGGGAACGGCCTGCACGTTCTGAGTGCTGAAATGTGTTACACTAAAACGTGCTACACTGTGCCGTCCCGAGCCTTTTTCAGTTTCTGGGGATTTTATTTTTCTATCCTGGCGAGACTGTGATTTGGTCATCTTTGTTTAAGTATACGACCGATTTTCAATGTTTTTCTTATTGACAATAAATCCCATGGAAAAATGGGAAAAATACTTAATACCTGGGCACTGTGGTCTTCAGCAAACATTACTCAAATTGGCATGTATAGTGCATTTACCAAGGAGGGAATGTTTTCGACAGTGTCTGTTGGTTTGTTTGTTTGTCAGCAGGATTACATAAAAAGTGCTCAACTTGGTGGAGGGATGGGGCACAGGCCAGGGAAGTACTTGTTGACCTGTATTTTTTTTTTTGTCTGAAGTCTGGTGTATGTTGTTTGACAATGAGTTTGGTGTAGGTCTGCACTCTCTGCGTGCCCTTCTAGCTGGGAACTATTTTTAGCTGTGGATTTGGTGCACTAGCAAGTATTTACAGCAGCAGGACGATGTACAGCATATGAGATTGACTAAAAATAAACTACAGTGCCCATGTGCACTGTAATGAAGCAACATGTGAGCCAGCGAATTGGTATGGCTCAATTATGTCTTTTAGTAGTTTTTGAACACCAAGTCTCTTACAATTGTCATTATAAATTTATTTTTTGGTTTTGGTCTTTTCATGGGATTTGTTGACACTAAGAAAAATATAGATCATCATTGTTTACCTGAATCGTGTATGGAAAATGAACTTAATCAACACTCAGAAAGTCTCGGAAACACATTTCTACCACACAGCTCCCTTTAAATATGCAGATCTGAGTTGATAAAAATGAATGAAGTCAGTCATTTCAACATCTAACTCAGATGGTCAGACATTGGAGGAGAGAAGTCAGCTGAAATGGTCAAAGTCCAGTCATCAGAGGTTACTACTGTCCAAACGAAAGCCAACCACATACAAGGCTATACAGTACAGAGAGGGGAAAGTTTGTTCAAGGTCGTTTGGTGATGCAGCAATAAAATATGTTGTTATTTAGGATGTATTTAATTGTTAAAGTGGTTTTTCTTAACTACAGACCCTACATTATAAATAGTTAAAGCTGTTTCAATGTATGATGAGAATTTGTCAAATATTTTTAAAAAAACTAGGGCCAGAAAAAAAAGATATATAGTTATTCTTAGAAATAAGTGTAAATAATATTGACAAATATTAATTTAATTAGTTTATTGAAGAATAAGGCTGTAGATGTTCTATATTTTTGTTAGTCAACAATTTCCACAAAAAAAACCCCAAAAAAACAACAATGCATGTGTCCATCTCAATACCAAAAGCAATTTTCTGAAATGGGTAAATTAATTAATTAAAAATGTGTCAGAAATATATAGTTTCAGTTTTCACAGAGTTTAAATAATTTCTTTAAACAGCTGAGAACTGTAGATTTTTTTTGTTTTCAAACTTTTCTTTAAAAACAGGAATGGGTGAATCTGTTGGGGAATATTATTTACATCTAGTATTTACATCAGCAGGATAGTGAATGTGGGAATGATCAAAATAAAGCGCAGCGCTATATTAGGCATGGATACAGAGACAACATTTGTTAGTATCCTTTAAGATATTCCAAAAACTTTTCATGCAACATTTGATGGCAGAATACTTGTTCTAGGAAGGAAATAGCTGATCCATGACTTTATATATATATATATATCTGTGCTGGAAACTACTTAGTTTTCCCACGCTTTTTTCTTTTTTTTAAGAGGGAGGAAGCCATGCTTGATTTCTGACCCTGATTTAAACTAAAGAAACTATGAAAAGGAAAAGGCAAACTAGCAACAGTTTATAAATAATCAATAGAGTAAAAGGTCTGTGTACTGAACTACATGGCCTGCCAAACAACCTTTTGTAACCAACACCGAATCTCAAAATAAACCTCCTCTTATCAACCTTGAGCGCTTGATTTGGGGAAAAAAAATGCAACAAAGAATGAGATGAATTATGCAACAGGACAGAACTAAAATAGCAATACTCAGATGGCACAGTAGCACCAGGTATAAAAATTGCTTGAAATGGCTCCAAAGTATCTGGCAAAACATCCCCGTGGAGCAAACATCCTCCTTTCTCAACTACTCATTGTTTCCTTTTTACTTGTTTGGAATGTGGCAACGAAAATCAGTGGGGGGATCCACTTAAAATTCACACCGACTGTGACATTGTTTCAGAATAGGAGAGAGAAAGTGCGTGTGTGTGTGTGTTTCCCCGCAGGCTGTATAGCTTCCACCGCCTTGGAAGCAGCTGAGGGGGAAAATGCTGACTATTAATAACCAGAGAAACCTGGTTATTTTTCCATTTGTTGGCCGATCGCCAGGTGATCCCAACCTAAAATAGACAAAAGCATTGGAGCCGCTTGTGTCCTGGTTGGCATCGAATCATATGGAGACAGAAATCTACTGGGAGAGGGAGAGAGAGAGAGCTTCAGAGATGATGAGTGAGGGAGATAAAGTGAGAGAGGTGACAGAGAGCGAGTCCCTAGACCACTTCAAGAAATCAAACGGCACTCTAGAGGTTTTCAGAAAAAAAAACCCTTATCTTAGGAAATTCATGCTCTGTGCTCAACACCACTTGCAAAGAAAACAAGGAAGGCCGCAGCTGCCTGGCAGTTAAACCACGGCACTTAAATCATGTTGTAATCCAAGGTGAAACAAGTTTGTAGGCTGAGAGGTGTCCATGGAGATGATATAATACAAAATCTACTGAATCCAACATGTTTGTGTGCTGTGTGGGCAAACAACCTGTCAGACATTATAAAAGGTGATAGATGATTACTAAGGTTTATGCAGCGAGTATTGTGTTTGCAAAGTTTGCGTGCGTGTGTGTGTGTGTGTGTGTGTGTGTCTGTGTGTGTGTGTGAGAGCATGTCTGTGACAGTTTAGCCAGTGTCTCCTGCCAGTTCTCAGATTTCCACATGTGAGAACTTGTCTTCAAGGTAAGATTACAGCGTGTAGGAGTACTTTCTATCATCTATTTCCTCAGTCATGACATAATAACAAAAGGCCAACGTCAAACTGGCGGGCAGGTCAGGCAAGCTGATGTACCTGTACAAGCCAGGCTAGTACTGTGTGTGTGGGCCAACATGTACAAGGAAGAGCACCAACCATCAACCAAAAAAAAAAAAGAGCATGAGCAAAAGTACAAGCTGGCACAAAAGCTGGATTTTTAAATAAAATGACATACATAATGACATATATATAATGTTAACTTTGGGAGTGGTAATGATTCTGTTCTCACAGCCCAAAAGTAAGTGAGGTGAAACCGAGAGGTCAAACAAAGAGATGTGAAATCTTTCCTTCAGGGACAAACTTGCAAAACGAATTAAATGTTTTTTAACATTCATATTTCCTCACAACGGCAATAACTCGGTCCAAAATGAACTGAAGCAAAGGCCGGGGATCAGGTTACCGCACAAAGAGTGGCTGAGGTCCTTTTTGTACCTTTGAAAGTGAAGTTTTATTCATTTTAACGAATGAGCTTGTTTTGTCAGGTTGTACAAAAAAAGTGCTTGAGAAGGAAAATGCAGCACAAACAAATAAAGACTATGCAAATGCAAAAAAAAAAGAAAAAGGCTGACAATGAATAAACCCTGCAGTCAGACAATATCCAGTGCTGTCATCACTTCTTCTTCTACACTCCTACACAGCAGGAGTCACTTACGAGTCAGGCAAAGAAAACGCAGAGTGAGGTGTAGTTTAGGACACGACAGAAGCATACATTGAAGCTGGTCTGGTGTATTTAGTAACAAAAGGCAGAACCTGTCCTGCTGCATTCAAAGGCATTAACACTCTTATCTTCTCTGTTTGAATAAAAACTATGCTTGCTCTCTGAGGGTGAGAACTATAATCACTCCATCAGAAGCACTGTGGGAAACGTATTTTGATATTTGTACTTATTTTGCTGGAAAGTAACTGGGTTTATACATGAAAAGTCTAAAATGTGGATATAATGCACACAAAGGAGAACAACATACTGTTTTTGGAATACAGTAGGTTGTTCCTACTTACTGAGTAGGTGAAGGAAACTGAAAATAGATAAATATCAATAAGTGCTTAATTTAGTTCAGTCTAACACTTGACAAGTTTTCTTGCTGTTGACTTTATGACATCCTGAAGACAAAATGACATGTTGCAGAGTATTTCCCCTATAGAGGAAGGCGTGGTTTTCTTTTCTTTTCTTTTTTTTTTCGCACAGTAAGCCATTTATATGATCACAGTTGCCCCGTGTATATGAATGTGTGCAAGTATGACACACACACACACACACAGACAGAGAGGGAGAGTTAGAGCTATGAGCTCTGTGACTTCCTGACCTCTTCATGTAAAACAGCATGTGGTTCAATGTCAGTGAC